CTGAATAACTGCGACACGTATGCTGAATAACTGCGACACGTATGCTGAATAACTGCGACACGTATGCTGAATAACTGCGACATGTATGCTGAATAACTGCAACATGTATGATGAATAACTGCTACACGTATGCTGAATAACTGTGACATGTATGCTGAGTAACTGCGACACGTGTGCTGTATAACTGCAACATGTATGCTGAATAACTGCGACACGTATGCTGAATAACTGCAACATGTATGCTGAATAACTGTGACACGTACGCAAAATAACCGAGGCATGTATGCGACACGTATGCTGAATAACTGTGGCCCGTTTGCTGAATAACTGCAACATGTATGCTGAATAACTGCGATACATATGCTGAATAACTGCGACCCGTTTGCTGAATAACTGCAATATGTATGCTGAATAACTGCGACCCGTATGCTGAATAACTGTGACACGTATGCCCAGTACGTGTCGCAGTTATTCAGCATACATGTCGCAGTTATTCATCATACATGTTGCAATTATTCAGCATACATGTCGCAGTTATTCAGCATACGTGTCGCAGTTATTCAGCATACATGTCGCAGTTATTCAGCATACGTGTCGCAGTTATTCAGCATACGTGTCACAGTTATTCAGCATACATGTCTCACATATCCAGCATTCGTGTCTGGGTATTTAGCAAACGTGTCTCAGTTCTGCCGGGGCAACTTTAACGCCTGGAAGGCTACGCGGTCAACGGAACTGTTTACCAGGCATAGAATGACATCGGGCGTGGTGGGACGGATGGATGGACGGACTGATTGAGGGATGAATGAGATGCCGGCCAGGTTGATGGCCGGGTGGATGGATGGCGTGTTGGGACGGATGCACTGGTGGAAAGACTGATTGATGGAGGAATGAATGAGATGTCGGCCAGGTTGATTGCCGGGCAGATGGATGGGCGTATGAGGACGGATGCACTGGTGGACGGACTGATTGATGGAGGGATGAGATGTCGGCCAGGTTGATTGCCGGGTAGATGGATGGGCGTATGAAGACGGTTGTGCTGAATCAGGTTGATCGATGGATACAGAAACTGTGTCAGCGCATTGTGAGTTCATTGCCAGAGGCCCTCGTATAGACATTATGCTTTCTTTCTCCCACTCTGAACTGGGAGATGTTGACGTTAGCTGACATTGATGTATGTGTATCGTATTTTCGGATAAAATGTCATTGAATTTAAAGGGTGTACAGTACTACTGTCTTAATATTCTAATCCATAGCATTCACCTTTATGCATGAATCATATATGTACGTATGCTGAATAACTGCGACACGTGTGCTGAATAACTGAGACACGTATGCTGAGTAACTGCGACACGTGTGCTGAGTAACTGCGACACGTGTGCTGAGTAACTGCGACACGTATGCTGAATAACTGCGACCCGTATGCTGAATAACTGTGACACGTATGCAGAATAACTGAGACAAGTATGCGACACGTATGCTGAATAACTGCGACACGTATGCTGACTAACTGCGATACGTATGCTGAATAACTGCGACCCGTATGCTGAATAACTGTGACACGTATGCAGAATAACTGAGACATGAATGCGACACGTATGCTGAACAACTGCGACCCGTAAGCTGAATACCCGAGACACGCACGCTGAATAACTGAGACATGTTTGTTGAATACCCGAGACACGAATGCTGGATAAGTGTGACATTCATGCTGAATAACTGAGACATGTATACTTAGTAACTGCGACACGTGTGCTGAATAACTGCGACACGTACGCAAAATAACCGAGGCATGAATGCGACACGTAAGCTGAATAACTGCGACCCGTGTGCTGAATAACTGCCACATGTATATGCTGAATAACTGCGACACGTATGCAGAATAACTGAGACATGCATGCGACACGTATGCTGAATAACTGCGACCGGTATGCTGAATAACTGCGACCCGTGTGCTGAATAACTGCGACCCGTATGCTGAATAACTGCGACCCGTGTGCTGAATAACTGCGACCCGTATGCTGAATAACTGCGACCCGTGTGCTGAATAACTGCGACACGTATATGCTGAATAACTGCGACACGTATGCAGAATAACTGAGACATGCATGCGACACGTATGCTGAATAACTGCGACCGGTATGCTGAATAAATGCGACCCGTAAGCTGAATAATTGCGACCCGTAAGCTGAATAAGTGTGACCGGTATGCGGAATAACTGTGACCCGCATGCTGAATAACTGAGACATGCATGCGACACGTATTCTGAATAACTGCGACCCGTATACTGAATAACTGCGACACCTATGCTGAATAACTATGACACGTATGCTGAATAACTGCGACACGTATGCTGAATAACTAGGACACGTATGCTGAATAACTGCGACACGTATGCTGAATAACTTCGAGACGTGTCACAATAACGTAAACTAATTCTGAATTATCGAGATACATATATTGTAACCAATCAGGGAAGTGTTTCCGTTATTCCCCTCGCGTGTTCCGGCTGTAGCCTGATGCTAAGGTTTGATTCTCTAGGTATCCGAACCCACAGGGTTCTGTACACTCGCTTCATGAGCCGTATGGGGGGCACGGGTGGCCCAGTCGTCTAAGGCGCCGCGATTCGCTGTGCAGAGTTGCGTCCCTTGGGTACGCCAGAAACCTATGATTGTGGGTTCGAATCCCGGTTCGCCCCGATCATGTTTCTAGGTTTGTCAGCACCATACCCGTGCTCGTGGGTTTCACCGAAGTGGTAAATGTCTGAGACCTGCATCACTTCGGGCTTTCCTCCCACATTAAGCTGACACGCCGCGATATGACTGGAATACTGTTAAAAGCGGCGTTAAACCCAACGCACTCACTCACTCACCCACTCATGAGCCGTATATTAACAAAGTGGGTCTATGAAATCTATTATTCATGAATATAGCTGTGAAAAACCGATTCGTTACATTTGAAGCAAACATACGCAGGATATATAAGTCAGCTAACGTCAAACATCTCCCAGTTCAGAGTGGGAGAAAGAAAGCATAATGTCTATACGAGGGCCTCTGGCAATGAACTCACAATGCGCTGACACAGTTTCTGTATCCATCGATCAACCTGATTCAGCACAACCGTCTTCATACGCCCATCCATCTACCCGGCAATCAACCTGGCCGACATCTCATCCCTCCATCAATCAGTCCTTCCACCAGTGCATCCGTCCTCATACGCCCATCCATCTACCCGGCAATCAACCTGGCCGACATCTCATTCATCCCTCCATCAATCAGTCCGTCCACCAGTGCATCCGTCCCACCACGCCATCCATCTACCCGGCAATCAACCTGACCGACATTCATTTCTCCATCAATCAGTCCATTTCTCCGTCCATCCAGTCCATCCTATCCGGGGGGCACGGGAGACCCAGTCGTCTAAGGCGCCGCGATTCGCTGTGCAGAGTTGCGTCCCTTGGGCACGCCAGATACCTGATTGTGGCTTCGAATCCCGGTTCGCCTCGATTATGTTTCTATGTTTGTCAGCACCATACCCATGCTCGTGGGTTTCACCGAAGTGGTAAACGCCTGAGACCTGCATCACTTCGGGCTTTCCTCCCACATTAAGCTGACACGCAGCGATATAACTGGAATACTGCAGTTAAACTCAACTCACTCACTCACCATCCTACCCACCACACCCATAAGCGTAATCCAATCCATCAACTCAATAATTCTATACTTATCATACAATCTTAAGGAGAACACACACACACACACACACACACACATACATGGTCTCATGTTTCCTGATAACAAAACTCCGATAAACGTAACACGAACGTGCACGGCATTCCCCTAGCAGCCCGTAAGTGATCTCTCCTATCAACACACGATACACTGGTCATTGTGACACTTCTCCGTGTCACAATGACCGCTCAGATATCAAGTATAAAGGTCAATACTGGAGGTCACGAATACACCATGCATAAGATTACAAATGAAAGTAACGGTTAGGCATTCTTTGAGAAAACATACAACTTTATTTTTTTCACGATGCAGATTCTTACACCCTTATCAAGCTGTTTTCTTAACAACTGACGGTAGTGCATCAACTTGAACTCGGGTTGTAAAAACACAAATGGATTTTACTCCTTTTGCGCGACATGCAAACTGCTTATATAACAACGACGTGAAAAATCCGCTATTTCTTAGAAGAAGAAAACTAATGCTACACTTAAGGATTGTCTGTGTAGTTTTTTCGTTTTTGTATCAATCTCGTCATTTTGGCTGTTTTGATATATACAGCTACGCGGATTCATACAGTTTGCACATTGGTTTTTCGATTCATACCTCAATGAACCGAAGACAAACATGACGAGATTGATAAACATTCCAGGTGTAGGAATACATACTGTGGCGTGACATGAATCAGGTGATCGTTTAATTTATGCACATAACTTGACACGCCTATACACAGTCAGTAGCCAATCAACGAAGAGCAGAATCAAAACAATGTTCATTGGACCTGTCAGTTAAGACAAGAGGCGAAAAGAACTGCAACAGTCAGACTGTAACGAACCGGAAGAAATATGTCCGGGAGAAGGCGGCTGTTTCAAAATACATGGTCAGTTACCGCCAGATTCAAACATTACTTCCCTGATTACGTTAAAACACTTGGAAAAATGCTAGTTAGAAATGAAACCCGAAGACATGAAAGTTGAACCGAGGCGAGCAGGAAAAAAAAACGGGCGAGCGTTTGCTGTTTCATTCATTCTCGGCCTTCGGTTTCAAAGGTTTGTTTGGACAATGAATATACATGAAAGTCGCTAAATGTCGCTACTGTAAAATTAGGATTACCCGACATTCCGAAGTAATAAAAGTAGTGCGCCTCGGTGGGCGTGGCTTAAATTTTTACATTCATTGGGAAATGAATGCAATAACACGTGACCAATTCAGCTAATCAGAATACAGGAATTTCAATGAACACAACGAAAATTTAATTATAACACATTAAATTAATTGTTATCAGAGCATCACAGCACCTAACACCGTATTCCTTCACAATCCCAGCTTGATAACGAACTTGAAAATCCATTGGAAGATATAAAGTAAACTGTTGTTCTCCAGAGGTTGAATGCCTGATATCCAGATATGTATACAGTGTAAATCTCGGATGTATTGAGCTGTATGGCCTCATCCCACCACGTGATCCTCTGATACGCCCGTGATCACGTGCACCATGGACCCTGGGCAGACCACACGATGTCGGACGCAGCTGTGAGTTGTTACTGCTCTTCTTGTTATAGGGCGAGTTTACTGTTATCAGTTCTAACTATATGTCTGACTTCAATGCATTCAACTGGGTTGTTAGTGTAATAGTAGAGGCAGAAGATGTAGTTCATGCCGCAGAGGTTGAAGCAGCTGTAGTAGAAGCAGCAGAGACACTTGCTGAAGCAATATAGCGATTGAGGGAGATTGGCTTAACTCCGTTTTGAATTCGAATAGTACCGGTATTTCAGTTACGATGGTTGAAGATTAAGTTCTGATCCTAACATAGGAGTGGGTGAGTGAGTGTGGTTTTACGCCGATTTTAACAATGTTTCAGCAAAATCAACCTGGGGACACTAGAAATAGGCTTCACGCATTTCACCCATGTGGGGAATCGAACCCGGGTCATCGGTGTTGCAAGCGAACGCTTTAGCCACTAGGCTACCCCACGCCCGCACATAGAACGTATTGCGTAATAATATTGTTGAAATTATGTGATGTTATGGAGGTATATCCACAACAAAATTTAAAAAAAACTGAGCAAATTGTTTCGCCGCGATAGGTCTTTAAAATAAGAATGGATCGGTGACCTTTAAAAAACTGGACACGCTTGAGAAACTTCCACTGATCATCAATGAAGTTGTAGGTAAACAACAGAGTTTACCCCCTGGATGCCAGAGGGACATATATGTCCTTCCTCTACAACCCTCACTTTGAAGCCGTATAAAATTCAAAATACATCATGCACACTAATACACTTCACAGTTTTGAATAAGGTGGGAGGTTCCCTGTTCTGTGATATCATCCACTGGTATTTTATGCCAAGCAAAAGTACTCAAAATGACCTCTGAAAATTAGGTACTTCGTAAATGTCGCCATTTTTTACACATTACTAAATCACCACTCACGGCGTTATTTACAGCATGTTTTGAAATCCAAATTTCGGAAATTTACTCCGAGAAATAAAAATTTGGAAATAGCATATTAGTGATCACGGATATCTGTCCTTTATGAAATCACCAATGATCATTCCGAAACGTCTCCGATAACCCTGGAATCGTTTAGAATGTTTTGGAAAAAACACGAATGCCGAAGTGAAATTTCCGCCATATTGATAGTGTTTACAAAATCACGTTTCAGGTACATCGGTTATGAGGCGCCTGTAATTTCACGTATATTTCAAACTTAGCTGGGATACACACATCCTTGAATTCCTCATTCATTTTAGAGTCGGATGAACAATGGTCTTTGTCACCATTACGAAGTGGCTGGATGAAATCAAGCAATATAAGTTAGGTGTGAAAACGAACGCTGTGTAGCATTTTCTCCTATTTTGAGCTATCCATTCGTCTATTCATTCAATATTTTGGCTCAACATTTTCAGAATATTCATGGGAAGAGAATCGTAGGAAGAATTAGGGAATTTAATATAGATACATTGACAATTTCCGTTGAAAATATCAAATCATTGCAAAGTTACCGTCCTGTGTGACGCCATGACTGACGCAAAATCACGCACAACGACAACGGTATTTATCGGAATTTCTGACTATTTCGGCTTATTTCAATGAAAATTATAACACCAAATAACAGTACATAGATTGTCAGAATGTTTCTGATTACTTACATGTCATATTTATGTATACACGATCCCTGAATCAACGAAAATCCCCTCGTAAAATCCCGCGTACTGTTGACGCCATTTTGTAAAAGTCGGTCACAGGTAGTGATGTCATACGTCAACATTGTTGTACATATTTGGTAATTTCTTGGAGGTGAAGGTCCCTGAATGAGAGTGCAAATGATCATTGTACCATGCTGTTTACAGTTTCAGTTAAGATGTAGATTTTGCATATCTTTTATACATTTTGTTCACACAATTAATTTCACTTTGGACATTTGTCAATGTTCAAAATGATATCATACGTAAATACAGGCCACAACATGTATGAACGGACCTTTGATAATCTCTTGTTTGTTTGAACATTGCTTACATAAGAATTGATAGTTTTTTAGTGTCGAATACGATATTTCTTTCCTTTTGACAAGAGTTACAAGATGAAGTGTAAATGTAACTGCAGCATGTACGTATTTCTTGGGATGTGTAATAGTCAATATTATATAATATATAATATTCATATAACCAATGTCCCTGAATAGCTGTTTCATTTTATTTTATAACTAAAACTGAATATATTACTTTAACAAAATGGATAATATCTTTCGCTAAAATATATGCACACATTTCTGAAAGAATTGTCTTGGTCTTGGAATTGTTTTTTTATGTCGTTTGATACACAGAACAGCGATATCTAACGATTCGCCAGGTGCGTGTTATAGTCACTAACAATTTCCGAATTATTCCTCTCGTTTTGCATTATATAATCAATGGGTTCATTCTTCTTTCAATATTGTGATCACAGGATATTAAACTGTTTACTTTATTTCTCCAGGAATTGTAAAATGTATAAAAATAAAATCCATGCCAGGTACCCCGTTTGTTCAACCTTTAACGATTATCCTGTAAATTCTATACCAATAGAGCTTTCTTCGCTTGTTTTATTGTGAAATTCTGAGATGAGATGACGAGAAATAATAACATAGTAATGAACAAATATGTGTCCACTATTGAATATAATTTTGGTTGTTTTGAAATATTCTTTTGGGTATTTCATTACGTACATTGATGCCAAACAGGTGCGTGTCTTGTCGAATTAAGATACACGATAAACTATCTAATTGTTTACATATTCAAGACATTATTTACTTGGCAAAAGCATTCATTTTATGTTGTGTCGAAAAAGCGTCAAATTCCGTTATACACTTCGAGATTTTCCATTCCATGAACGAAAATTAGGGGAGATATATATTAATCAAAATACCATAGTCGTCTTTGTCCGACGTTATCAAAGACAAAAAAACCCAGCCATGACGTCAAATAGAATGGTGTTATGTTTTGGGGTATTTCATTACATTTGATGATAAGACTAGTGCTCCATTAATAATGGTGCAACATTAGTCATATTACACTTACATATTCAGGAGAATGTTGGAATCTAAGGACTAAGTTATAGGTTAGATAGGGCCATCCATTTCTCTATTACCTCTTTTTTTATAAAGTACGATGTCATCATTTCTTATGGTGTTTTTTTTATAACTAAACGTAAACAGTTTCTTTATCGATATTTGTGTTGGAATAGTTTGGTTCCTCGTGAACAAAACACCACGAAAATATTTTATCCTTACCCACAGCTAATTCTCACCAAGTGACCCGAGTTACAATAAACAAGTTCTAAGCATAGCGGAGTTATGCCCCCTTTTCTTTGTACGTGTGTAACCTCTCTGACGCCTTTTGACGTCATAGAGAAAAATCTGTTTTCGTCATTTAGGGCATGCTATTTTTGGCATTGAATGTATGTCGCTACACATACGCATATAACACCTTTTGATATATAGTTATGTCGTTCAGGTATTAGGCAGTATTTTGTTCGCTCACAGTTTCCGTACAATTTCTAAGTAAAATAAATCGTCGCACAGTACTTTTATCGGTGTACGATAAAAAGCGGAGAAATTTACTGTTTTTCAACGCAGAATAAATTCTCGGACAACACTTAGAAGTGTATTTTTTTTAAAACCGGTTTAATATTTGCAGTTAACTTTACACCATCAAATAGGAAATTTAATATTCTCCACCTCTGCGTAATTTTATAGCCAGAGGTAAGTTCAGTGCCGCGTGAGCGCAATTCTCGCACTACCTTCACTTTTCCGATCTCAGGAAAATATGCGTCAGAAAAAAACCTCGGCATCCAGAGGGTTAAGCATGGCAGGGAGAGCCTTGACGTCGATCCCGTCCTGGAAAGTCACGTCAGCTACACCAGAGAATCCACGAGGTGGCGATGAGCGAGCAGAGAATGACTGAGTGTCATGTCGTTAGTTCGGTAGGCATTTTCCATGAGAGAGTACATTCCATTGTCAAAGAAGCTTTGGCAATAAGAAAATATCAGCTCCTTGGGCCCCAAATATTCTGACATCTGATCACAAACGCACCAGGCGCAACATTTCTCGTGATAATGTAGCTGTTTGAAGCTGATTCACAAAGGTTCTTGCAACGAATTGTGATTGTGGAAGAAGGCAAGTACTGTCCCATGAGCTGTATAGGTTATGGTGTCCTTGTTCTGGGATGCCGAGGGTGTCAACATTGTCTTCCTAATGGCCAGCCAATAAACGGAGCATAATTTGCTGCACTTAAGAAATTAAGACACCGAGACGTCTCAAGCGGAGGAAAGGTATGCTCTTCCATCAGGACAATGAGCCAGAGTTGAGGTGAGGTGAAATGGGGTTTAACGTCGCGTCCAAGATTATTGCACTTATATAGCGAAGGCCATGCACGTGGCTGCTAGTACTAGACCGGACTGATGCTGATTAATAGTGCTAGCTCAATGAGATACCCTGCCGCAGTTTAACATGAATGCCCCACTCAGACACTGTATACTGACCCCGAGCAGACCAGTCCTTGTTTTAGCCCCTTAATGCCGCGCGCCAGACAGGGTAACAACAAGTGCCATCTTTTAACGTCTTTTGGTATGACGCGGCCGGGGATCGAACTCCGGACCTTCCGCTCTCCGGGCGGACGCTCTACCACTAGACCACGGAGGCGGTCCAATGAGCTAGAGCACATATCAGTCATTGTTTTGGCTGCAATTCACGAGTGTGTCCATGAATTCATTCAGGACCCACCTTATTGTCCTGATCTAGCTCCGACTTCTAAACATGAAGACATCTCTAGCCGGATTCCATTTCGACCTGAACGATAACGCCACAAGGTGTGGAGAGCTTTGGGGACAGCCAAGAAAAGGACATCTTCGAAACAGAGATAAAAGCCCTCCAACATCGTTGGCAAAATTATATCCTCATGTAAGGAGACTGTTTTGGAAAATAATCATTTTAATGTCTTGAAGTCAAGCCTCTAAATGTGAGGCGGAGACCCAGGTACATCAAGGCGTGTGCGTTTGGTGAGGCGAATCGTGGCGAATCTGTGATTTGAACCAACGACCATAGGTTTCCTGCACGCCCAAGGGACGCAACTCTGCACAGCGAATTGTGGCGCCTTAGGCGAATTGGCCAACTGTGCCCTTTCAAGGAGGTAGTTGAGGTAGCAGTGGTTGAATAATTATCATAACAACAGTAGGGACAATAATAGTGACATCAGTTTTTGACAGATAATTTTCTTTTTAATTGAGGTATAAAGGACTTATTTGTATCAATGAAATAGCTTTCATTTTGATATGTATCACGCCTATGTGTCATAATAACAAAGACTGTTAGCATTTTTAAATGTGACCGACAGCGGATGAGAAATGGCGGCCAAATTGACACCCAAATCAAATGTTCGTGGAAAAACTGGCAACATAATTTGTCCCTGATCAGTATTTTGCTTATTGCCAAAATTCTACCCCAAAAACTTGTTATTTTTCACATAAGTCCATATACTATTAGACGTACATTCGTCTGAACCGTGATATCAAATGAAGTTGCTGATGGTGGTGAGGGCATATATTATGGTGATGATGATTATAGTGATGATGACGATGAAGATGATGATAAGAGTTTAGAATAAAAATATGAATCGGTAAAAATGGAAACATTGAGATATCGTTTTCAATATTGAAATGTGGAAATGGTCACTCTTTACTTAAGTACATGGGCTTTTAGAAGGAGAGACGATGCGCCCTAGAGACGACACCGGCACAGATGGTACTATTTATTAGTGATGTAACGATACATCGAACTATCGATTGATTGCGATTGCTTGTCTCACGATAGCCACATGTCAGTTTTTGTCAACTTTGTTTCCTAATTGATATGTTGAATCGCATTTAGTCATTCAGTGAATGCCAATGTGACAATTAAAGAGTTTGACAGTTTGTATAGTCAAATACTAGTAATTTAGTTACATTCATTCACATTGGTGCCAAAACACTACAGTAACCTAAGTCTTTACCAGTTACATGAAGTGAAATTTTGTATTAAAATGTTTTTGAGAGGTCAATTTGAACTTGTTGTCTTCTCATTTCTTGTTTTCTTTACAAATAGTATCAGAAAGTTATAATTATTTTGATCGTGTCAGTCAAAATGCTAATATATATGCTGCTAAAGCCTGCTATAATTGCAAGTGAAAACTATCGCAATAGTATCGCAATAGTAGGGCCACTATCGCAATAGTATCGCAATAGTTGTTTTAACTATCGCAATAGTATCGCAATAGTATCGCAAAAGTCAAAAATGCCTCAATAGTCACCCCTAGTATTTATCGACCCTTGACCTTGACGTATGTGTTCTTATACGACACAGGTACAAGTTGGACACAGTATTCGTCAAGCGACTATGGCGGCTGTTGAAAACCATGTTCCCGACATGGAAACACATCACCACACTACTCACAGTTACCCTTCTCGTCCTCTCAGTTCTAGGTAAGAACATTTCCACATCAACAGTACAATAAACATAAAACGATTTTTAAAAGATGCATTTCGAAGGCTCGATTATACAGTTGTTATTCGTATGGATAATATATCCAGAAACACACTGGGCTGATATGCACGTGTATTTGTATTTCTGCTCAGAGCAAGTCGTCATCAACAAGGTTGGGTTCATTGCTAGCGGATACTACAAGGTTCTGGGGGAAAGAGATGGCAGTGGTTTCGCTTCCCAGACGGCCAAATCTGTAGGCTTCATCCTGGCCGAATGTCTGGTACGTGACACAGGATGACCGAGCGAGCATTACAGTGGGAAAGGGCACCTTCATGTATCGACAAAGTTGTCAAAGTCAATTGTTGCTTATACTGAGATATTTGTCAAAGTGGACAGTTGCAGATATCGAGATATTTTTCAAAGCGAATTTGTTGCAAATATCGAGATATTTGTGAAAGTGACCAAACACTTTGGTGATGGTTACCTTTTGTACAGGGTTAGACCGCCTCCGTGGTCTAGTGGTAGAGCGTCCGCCCGGAGTGCGGAAGGTTCAGCGTCATACCAAAAGACCTTTAAAGATGGGACTTGTTGTTGCCCTGTCTGGTGCTCGGTATTAAGGGGATGAAACAAGGACTGGTCGGCTCGGAGTCAGTATACTGTGTCTGAGTGGGGTATTCATGTTAAACTGCGGCAGGGTATCTCAGTCCGCTAGCACTATAAATATTTATAGTCCGGACTAGGACAAGCACACACACACACACACACACACACACACACACACACACACACACACACACACACACACGTGCATGCACGTCGCCATATAAGTGCAATAATCTTGGACACGACGCTAAACCCCATTTTACCTCACCTCACCTTGCACAGGGTTAAAAACTGTTAATGACATATCTGAAAATTGTTGCATATATATTCCCGAGGTACCAAATACACATTGAACACACCCTTTCCATTTCAGATCTACAGCAGTAAGACATTCGTAGGTTCGTATCTGTACGTAACGTGGCGAGAACTCGTCGGGCGCAACCTTCATAAGCAGTACTTCCAGGACATCAAATACTACCACGTGGGGATAGGAAGCACACTCATAGATAACCCGTACGTAGCTGTACACTCCATTGTTAAAGCGTTAGCACAGAATCGTCCTTACCAAGCACCTGACACATCGGTCTGAGCGGCCCTCCCCTTCACAAATACAGCGTATCAAAGGTTTTTATGTACTTTTACACGTAAAAGTGTGTAAAAATATGAACAAAACAGACTATTGTGAAACTGAGCATAGCCAGGTGTTAGTAGATCAAGGTGAATGTCCATGACCTATGACACCTTGACGACAGGTGAAAACAGGTGCTTGAAACCCATGTGCATGTGATTTGTGAGTTGTTAGTGATTTGTGAGTGGCATTGTGGGATAGTGAATCATCGTCAAAATATCAAAAGTAACATATTCCCTTCTCAAACAACAACTTACATGTCATTATTATTATGTACATAAACATAGCTCTTATTTTTATTGTTGTTTTGATAACTTTTTTCCAGGCTAATTCGAATAATGCCTATAGCCTGTTTCTGCCATGTCAATTTAGACTTAGTTTTATTTTTGAATGTTGAAAGTGCCTACAAATTGACTCCTGTAAAATACATTTTGTATTGAGCACTGAGATAAAACTAGCAAATCCAGACTAGTACTTTTCCAGTTGTTTTGTTATTTCGTATTTACATCTACGTAATGCTTTGTGTCGATTATTAAATCCAGCAAAACAGGGTTTTTTTCATTTCCATGAGTACTTTTTAGACCTACGTCCGATGCTGCAAGTATACATTTGGTTCGAATCCTCGATAAAACCCGTTTGTTATCCTTTGTCGTCCAACTATTTGATTTAATTTGGTACTGGAAAATTCATTACGGCTCAAGATTTACAACAATAATTGTTCACGGGATATCCTGCAACATGTATGTCCGAACACCATCATTCGTCTCCGCCTTTCAGAGGAAAAAATTGTATTCCTTGCAGCAGTGAAAATATTTTGTCTCCTTTATAAAATACAATGGTGCGCTTTTGGAAGTGAGTCTGTCCACAATCCTCAACCATGGATGACCATACGATTGACTATTATTGGTCTCTCAATATTCAGGGACCCGTGAAGATGCGTGGTGGGAAAGGTCTTCAGCAACCCATGCTTGCCGTAAAAGGCGACTATGCTTGTCGTAAGAGGCGGCTAACGGGATCGGGTGGTCAGGCTCGCTGATTTGGTTGATGAATGTCATCGTATCCCAATTGCGTGGATCGATGCTCATGATGTCAATCACTGGATTGTCTGGTCCAGACTCGATTATTTACAGACCGCCGTCATATAGCTGGCATATTGCTGAGTGCGGCGTTAAAAAACAAACAAACAAACAATATTAAGGAGATGACAGTATATCATAGCTTCTCAATAGACTTACGTGGTATCTATAGACTACAGAGAGAGGTTCTGAATGAAGGTAGGGGCGGTCGGTTAGCCTAGTGGTTAAAGCGTTCGCTCGTCACGCCGAAGACCCGGGTTCGATTCCCGATACGGGTACAATGTGTGAAGCCCATTTCTGGTGTCCCCCGCCGGGATATTGCTGGAATATTGCTAAAAGAGGCGTAAAAGCATACTCACTCACAATTCTGAATGAAAGTAATGCATATTTAAATGTCTAACAAATGCAGAGTGCAACTTATATGCCATAGTGTCCTTCTCAAGGGCTGCCAAGTCTCTCCTCCGCCTCCAGGTTTGGCCTGCGTCCTTGTATGTTAGTGACTGTTGTGTCGGTTAGTTAAGTATGGGAACCAAGTCAAACTCAATCTTACAACAACGAGTGTTGACTCTACAGACGTTTGTTTGTTGTTTACCCCCGCACTCAGCAATATGCCAGCTAATGACGACGGTCTGTAAATATTCGAGTCTGGACCAGACAATCCTGTGATTGATATCATGAACATCGATCCACGCAATTGGGATACGATGACATCCAGCAACCAAGTCAGCGAGCCTGACCACCCGATCCCGTTAGTCGCCTCTTACGACAAGCATGGGTAGCTGAAGACCAATCATAACCCGGAATCTTCCCGGGATGCTAGACATATATGATTTATGGCATGACCAATGACCAACGCTGTCGGGATACAAGGCACGCAATAAGTCAAGTCACCACTCAAGTCACCACCCAAGTCACCAAGTCACCACCAAAGTCACCAAGTCACCACCCAAGTCACCCCTCAAGTCACCACCCAAGTCACCAAGTCACCACCAAAGTCACCAAGTCACCACTCAAGTCACCACCAAAGTCACCAAGTCACCACTCAAGTCACCACCAAAGTCACCAAGTCACCACTCAAGTCACAACCAAAGTCACCAAGTCACCACCAAAGTCACCAAGTCACCACTCAAGTCACCACCAAAGTCACCAAGTCACCACTCAAGTCACAACCAAAGTCACCAAGTCACCACCAAAGTCACCAAGTCACCACTCAAGTCACCACCAAAGTCACCAAGTCACCACCCAAGTCACCACCAAAGTCACCAAGTCACCACCAAAGTCACCAAGTCACCACACAAGTCACCACCAAAGTCACCAAGTCACCACTCAAGTCACAACTAAAGTCACCAAGTCACCACCAAAGTCACCACTCAATTCACCACCAAAGTCACCAAGTCACCACCCAAGTTACCACTCAAGTCACCACCCAAGTCACCAAGTCACCACCAAAGTCACCAAGTCACCACCAAAGTCACCACTTAAGTCACCACCAAAGTCACCAAGTCACCACTCAAGTCACCACCAAAGTCACCAAGTCACCACTCAAGTCACCACCAAAGTCACCAAGTCACCACTCAAGTCACAACCAAAGTCACCAAGTCACCACCAAAGTCACCAAGTCACCACTCAAGTCACCACCAAAGTCACCAATTCACCACTCAAGTCACAACCAAAGTCACCAAGTCACCACCAAAGTCACCAAGTCACCACTCAAGTCACCACCAAAGTCACCAAGTCACCACCAAAGTCACCACCAAAGTCACCAAGTCACCACCAAAGTCACCAAGTCACCACTCAAGTCACCACCAAAGTCACCAAGTCACCACTCAAGTCACAACTAAAGTCACCAAGTCACCACCAAAGTCACCACTCAAGTCACCACCCAAGTCACCAAGTCACCACCAAAGTCACCAAGTTACCACCCAAGTCACCACCCAAGTCACCACCAAAGTCACCACCACGTTAAGCACAAGCTGTTACTACAAGCATAAAATTGTCTGGCCCAGACTCAATTATTGACAGACCGCCGTCATATAGCTAGAATATATCTTTGGATGGAGTTAAACAACAAATAAGCAAATCAAACATGACGTATTGGGTCCTGCGCAGACCCGGGGTGACGACTTGGGTGATTGCTGATGCCAGCCATGTACGTCATGCATGTATTTTTTGTTTCCCTATTGTTCATGTCAATGCAGCTACCACAATAATACAACCCGTGAAGATCCGGAGTATATTAGGTCTGCAGCCTGTCAACCCATGCTTGTGGTAAGAGGCGACTAACGGGATCGGGTGGTCAGGCTCGCTGACTTGGTTGTTGCATGTCATCGTATCCCAGTTGCGTGTCAATCACTGGATTGCCTGGTCCAGACTCGATCATTCACAGACCGCCGTACTGGAATATTGCTGAGTGCGGCGTTAAACAACAAACAAACAAAACTACTACAACCGTTTCATTGCTTAATGGTATATACACACTCACTCACTCACTCTTTATTCTATAGTGACCAGCGGCTGACCCAGGATACTGACCGTCTATGTAACCTCTTCAGTCAAATTTTCATTAACATCGTCATCACCCCTGCCGTCATCATCTACTACACGTACGACGCTGCGAAAAGGTCAGTTTATGAAGACTCACTAGTTAGCTTACCAGTTAGTTATTGCCCAGTCGTCTAAGACGCCCAAATTCGCTGTGCAGAGTTGCGTTCCAGAAACCTATGGTCGTAGGCGTTAAGCCCAAATGAGAAATATACCCATGGTAACCGTGTGTCAAAATGAGGACTGTACCATGGTAGCCTTATTTTAAAATGAGAAACGTGTCTAGATAACCGTGTGTCATAATCAGAAAAATAAAATGGCAACCGTGTGTCCAAATCAGAAACATATTTACCCAGGTAACTGCGTGTCCAAATGAGAAACATACCCATAGTAGCCGAGTGTGAAAAATTGCAAACATACCCAGAAACGTAGTTACCCGAATCAGAGCATACCATGGTAACCGTATGTCCAATTCAGAAACATGGTTACCCAGGTAACCGTGTGTATATATCATAACCAAAGTTACCCAGGTAATCGTGTGTCAAAATCAGAAAGATAAGAATGGTAACGTGTGTGAAAAATCCGAAAATAACCCATGGTAACCATGTGTCAAAATCAGAAATATGGATACCAAGATAACTGTGTGTCAAAATCACAAACATAGTTACCCAGGTAACCGAGTGTCAAAATAAGAAACGTAGTTACCCAGGTAACCGTGTTAAAATCAGCCACATGGTTACCCAGGGGTAGCCATGTGTCCAAATCAGAAACATACCATGATAACCGTGTGTCCGAATCAGAAACATACCATGATAACCGTGTGTCCAAATCAGAAACATACCATGATAACCGTGTGTCCACATCAGAAACATACCATGATAACCGTGTGTCCAAATCAGAAACATACCATGATAATCGTGTGTCCAAATCAGAAACATACCATGATAATCGTGTGTCCACATCAGAAACATACCATGATAACCGTGTGTCAGAAACATACCATGATAACCGTGTGTCCAAATCAGAAACATACCATGATAACCGTGTGTCCAAATCAGAAACATACCATGATAACCGTGTGTCCAAATCAGAAACACACCATGATAACCGTGTGTCCAAATCAGAAACATACCATGATAACCGTGTGTCCAAATCAGAAACATACCATAGTAACCGTGTGTCCAAATCAGAAACATACCATGATAACCGTGTGTCCAAATCAGAAACATAGTGACCCAGGTAACCGTGTGTCCTAATCAGAAACATAGTTACCCAGGTAACCGTGTGTCAAAATCTGAAAGATAACAATGGTAACGTGTGTGAAAAATTCGAAAATAACCCATGGTTACCATGTGTCAAAATCAGAAATATGGATACCAAGATAACTGTGTGTCAAAAGCACAAACATAGTTACCCAGGTAACCGAGTGTCAAAATAAGAAACGTAGTTACCCAGGTAACCGTGTTAAAATCAGCCACATGGTTACCCAGGGGTAACCATGTGTCCAAATCAGAAACATACCATGATAACCGTTTGTCCAAATCAGAAACATACCATGATAACCGTGTGTCCAAATCAGAAACATACCATGATTACCTTGTCTCCAAATCAGAAACATACCATGATAACCGTGTGTCCAAATCAGAAACATACCATGATAACCGTGTGTCCAAATCAGAAACATACCATGATAGCCGTGTGTCCAAATCAGAAACATACCATGATAACCTTGTGTCAGAAACATACCATGATAACCGTGTGTCCAAATCAGAAACATACCATGATAACCGTGTGTCCAAATCAGAAACATACCATGATAACCGTGCATCCAAATCAGAAACACACCATGATAACCGTGTGTCCAAATCAGAAACATACCATGATAACCGTGTGTCCAAATGAGAAACATACCATAGTAACCGTGTGTCCAAATCAGAAACATACCATGCTAACCGTGTGTCCAAATCAGAAACATACCATGATAACCTTGTGTCAGAAACATACCATGATAACCGTGTGTCCAAATCAGAAACATACCATGATAACCGTGTGTCCAAATCAGAAACATACCATGATAACCGTGCGTCCAAATCAGAAACACACCATGATAACCGTGTGTCCAAATCAGAAACATACCATGATAACCGTGTGTCCAAATGAGAAACATACCATAGTAACCGTGTGTCCAAATCAGAAACATACCATGCTAACCGTGTGTCCAAATCAGAAACATAGTGACCCAGGTAACCGTGTGTCCTAATCAGAAACATAGTTACCCAGGTAACCGTGTGTCCTAATCAGAAACATGGTTACCCAGGTAACCGTGCCTCCTAATCAGAAACACAGTTACCCAGGTAACCATGTGTTCAGTCTAAATTTCGTTTTTTTCGCGTTATTTCAATTATTTTCTCATAATTTAGAATTTTTCTCGTTGCTTTGATTATTTTCTCGTATTTTAAATAACCAAGAAATAATCGAAGTAATGAGAAAACACTTTATTTTAAGGATACGGATCCATCTTGGCCCACTTAAAATGTCACATTTTAAACTAACGGGAAACTTCTGACATTGTCAAGTATATAGGAATAGATCTGCCTAAAAAATACGAAATCCTAATGGTGTCACTTTGGTAGCATAAATTTATTTTAAGTGGAAGTTTCTTTTCACTTTCATTATTTGTTTATGTTTTCGCTATTCCATAGTGTTTTTTGTTATTTCGATTATATTTTCGTAATTTCAATTATTTTCTCGTTACTGCGATTATTTTCTCGTAATTTTTCCAATAATTTGTCATTATTTCACGATTGTCTAAACAACAACAACAATAACAATAATAAAATCATATATATAATAATGCCTATTCCTCATTCTGTGTGGCAGCACTGGGTACAGTGGACCAGTTGGTGTGATAATACTGTTTGCAGCAACGACGACAGTCAACTACTTCCTCATGACCCCCATTGTCAACATCTTCTACCAGCAGAAGAAGCGAGAAGGTGACTTCAGGTGAGGTGCACAGTATTTAAAACGGTTCTGGGCCGGGAGAGCGAAACCTAGCCATAATCAACTCTAAAATCTCTTCGCTTTCGTGAAGCTACAGTAAGACTGGTCACGCTACAGTAAACACGGAATATTGCTATACCGGGACTCTCAAATTACAAGAAAAACACAGAAATGCGTATACCGTAATTACAGTAGTAATTTATTAGATGCTGAAGTATAGTATAGTTGCACAAAAGTACTTTACATTTAACAAATTTAATAACTCTAATACTTTAATATTTCATAGATGTACATTATAATTTCTACAAAAACAACAATAACTTATATCTTAAAATATAATGGTAAATACATAAATACATTCTATAATAAATTTGCCGTTGCACTGGCATACACGTTGTGTTCAAGTCATTCACTCCAAGTGGATCAGGTCACCAACGTGATCTGTGTACTCAACTTCGCCGATGACGTTGTTGACGAGATTGTCTTTCAGAGCCTGAAGACGGTTGTCAATCAGCCGGTATCTTCTCTTTCTGGGTGGTGCTGACCAGTTGGCTCCAATTCGTTGAATGGCGACTTCTACGTTAGATTGTTCTCTTTGAAATAGCGTAACAACTTCAAAAATGTTCGGATGGCTCTTCCTGGCAAGTTTGTTGAGTTTGTGATTCCACCCCTCGACGTTATTGTTAGTGCGATGCCCTTGGTTACCAAAATGGTTCCAGATCTCAGGTCCGAACTGGCGTCCTTCCACCCACGTTGTCCTGACGTAGTCCATGAAGGCTGCGACCTTGGGACCCGCGGGACCGTCAGCGATGGCTTGGAGCCAGACGTCGTCGACCTTGATGAGAATGTCGTTGTCGATGCGATGAAGGAAGTGTTCTCCTGCTTCGGTCAATGTCCACTGTCCTTCAAGATTAATCTCAGGTCGGGTGGCAGGAAGTTTGGGAAGGTTCTTGTGGCGTTGTCGGTACAGAATGGTCTTCAGGGATGCAAAGGAAGGAATTTCCTTAAGCTGGTCGTCTGGAACTCGACGTGGTGGCGGCGAAGTCTGGAAATCTCATCTCCGTATATGGTTGGAATCGGCGTTGTTTCCGTCTTAGCACGGTGGATGAGCTTGGACTTAAAAGATTCCACTTCCATCTCATATGGGATAGGTTGGTGGGTATGGTTCACCTGCAATTAAATAATTGCATTTTAACTAATATTAACTATAAACAAATAAATACATGTGACAAATACCTGTGGTATCTAAAAATAAGTAATAATAATAAGTAAAATAAATAACTGAATAGTTTGTTAAGCAAAGTCTTTTGAGTCTATGTCTTTAAGATTATTTTCATCATTATCATGTGCATTATTTTCTTACCTGCAAAGCCGCTTGAAGAATGCCGTTTTCAGTGATCACCGACGCTCTGCAGGCAGCAACAACGCAGTTCCAATACTTCTTCTCACGGACCGTTTTCTTACAACGAAACTTGAATCTCTCATAAAACAAGTGCTGACCATGGTCACTCGAACTTGTGCGTTAGCCATTTTGACCTCATAGATAAATGTTGTTGTTGTTGTTGCATTAAGTGTTTAGGAGGTCGCCTTCTGCCTAGGCAATTTCGGCTGACCTGTCCCTCTTTGGGACTCCTGTGTGTGAGTAGGGTACACCTATCTATTGTGAGTTTGGTGTTCACATAATTTCTGTTTTTGTATTGATATGATTTCTATTTTCTTATATTGATATGATTTCATTTCTATCCTTGGCTGCTCTGTTTATATACGTTCGAGTAGCTGTCCATCTCTCAGAAATAGAGTTAGTTTGGCCTTCGCTATTGCATCTCTTGGCTTTAGGAGATCTATGACAGATAGCGGATCTAACTGCAATTCTTGCACTCTTTATATATACCATCAAATACATACTCTTAAGAAACGACTCTCCTCTAAACTCATCGGTATCATAACCCATATCAACTAAGAAACTAATTGTTTGTTCAATTAAGAAACTGATCATTTCTTCTCCTGTGTTTAAACATCCAACTGTATTATTTTTTACGAAACGAGTCTCTAGTAAATCTCCTCTCCTCTCCTCTGTTTGAACAGCACGGGCGCTAATCTAAACTACGGTAGTCCGGTGTTTTTATAGCATTTACTCATTTCTCGCTTTCGTAGGACAAATACCCCAACTTGGGTTTTCGCTTTTCTGATACTAGGGAAAATTGGATTTTCGCTAACCAGGCACGACAAGGCGGAGACATCGATTGCAACCGTCACAAACACATGCCTTTGCAAGTCAGTTGTTCACCTGAAAAAAACATAGGAACATATAGTTCAAGTCAAGATAGAAAATTACGTTTTGTGTCATAGATGCGTCTAATTTGGAAATGTCACCCACATGTCCACCATAACACTCTTTGGAAGTGTAGCAGGGCGTGGAGTCACCCCACAGATGACATCCTTACCTTGTCAGCTTGCTGACGGGGTTAACCTCTTTGGTCATGTGGACAAGGCGTCTGACCTCTGATCAGAAGGTCCGTGGTTCGAATCCCATCACGGAAATTTTATGGCCGTTACAGAAGCTTCACTGAGGCCTTGAATGTTGTGACCTTGATCAAACAACCTTTGAATAAGAGTCGGATGACGCTCTCTGAATCTTGGTAGAAAACGGATGTTCGATTGTACACCAAAAGTTGTGAAATGTTGACATCAAAGGCAATAGCTTCTGGAATATTGCTGGACACAAATAAATAAATTCCTTAACAAATCCCTCATACTTTTTTCCGTGTGTGTGTGTGTGTGTGTGTGTGTGTTTGGTAAGCAATTTTCAGCATCTTCAACCATTGTTTTTGTGATGATAACAATTATACCAGTAACTTCGTCAGATTGCCATTGGTTAATTCTGACCAAGTTGATTGAAAAGGGCGACACCATGTATGTCTGTAAACACTGAAAGTAGTACCAATCTGATATTTCATTTCATAACGTTGATATCTGATTGGTCCACGTGATCGTGATAAAACACTATGTATCCCGCCTTTGAGGGAAATACATTTCCCAGCGGGAGAATAAATTCCTTAACAAACCCCGCTTGCTTTTTCCGAGACAAAGATAGTCACGTGACAGCACACGTTAACCTCAGCTCAACCAGACAGCTGTTTTCTATCAATTAAAACATGTAGATAAGATAAATTCGTTGCAGCTGGATCACACGGGGTACATGGGGTTTTATGCGTTCCGCGCTCGTGGTATGAAACCTAACGAGAGGCGCATAAAACCCCATGTACCCCGAATGATAATGCTACAACTTAAATTGTCACTCTGAATCTTTATGCATAGATCTAAATATGGAACAGACGAGGCGATCTGACTGGCCTCCTCTATTTCTAGTTCTGGTGGGTAAATCCGTCAAAGGAACTTGGCTATTTGATGGTTATGAACCAATCAATATGCCCGAAGCTTAAGTTAAACTTTTTGGCCCAATTACCTTCTTTTGACTTTGCCAATCCGAGCAGAAATTCCAATTCATAAGCATTAAGAAACAGATCAGCAAGGAGGGGAGCACAGTTAGTGACCATGGGGATGCTCACGTTTTGCCTTAATGTCTTGTTTTCTCAAAAATGAATCAGTTCAGTAGTTGTATTTTGTTCAGGTTCGATCTTAAAGCAGCTCTCACACTTTGCCGAGGTGGTTGCCGAGGTCTCCCGAGCCTAACTCGCTTAGGACTCGGGAAGAGACTATATATGTACGAGTATCATACGAGTAGGCTACGAGTGTGTTACGAGCCCCATAGGAGTCAAACAGGAGTCCAATTAAGAGTCTATTAAGAGTTGTATACGAGCACAATGATCTCCATACGAGCTGTACGAGTTTGGTACGACTTTGGTAGGAGGTGGCTACGAGCGGCTAAATATTTCGGCGGGAATTACACTCGTATAGCTCGTATTAGACTCGGTCAACTCGGCAATACATTTTGCACACGATGCTCATACGAGTTCTGTACGAGCACCACGAGGTCGCCACGAGGGTATTACGAGTAGGACGAGTGTGTTACGAGTTTGTTACGAGTTTCATAGGAGTTGGCTGGCGGCCCGACTGTTTTGAGCAGTTCCAAAACCCTCGTAGATCAGTACGAGTTATCCCGAGTTACCCGAGTTTAGGACGACCTCGCTGCGAGATCCATACGAGTACCCCCGAGTCAGCTCGGGTCCATACTTGGGACGCAACCAGGCAAAGTGCGAGAGCCCCTTAAATCATCGTGTCTGACCATAGATACAATAATGTCCTTGGTGCCAAACAGCTTTACTCATTTGTATCTCATAAACCAATGCGTTTTTATCATTGCTTGTTCCGTCCAATTTCTTCAGGTTCAAGCATATGCACATCCGCATTAACTCGGAACCGGTTGCGTTCTACAAAAGTGGAGAGCTGGAGCGGGAGCGAGCTGACAACAGACTGAGGAAACTTCTGAACACCCAGTCCTCTCTTATAAGGAGGCAATATGCCCTCAACGGTTAGTGAGACTATGAAGTAAGAATCTGCATAGAGGTGAGGTGAGGTGAGGTGAGGTGAAATGGGGTTTAACGTCGCGTCCAAGATTGTTGCACTTATGGAGCGACGTGCATGTGTAAGAGTGAATATTATCCTACCCTATTTTTTATCCCGGGGATGAAATTCTCTAGTGTCAGGATGTTTGAACCCATACCAGTGTGTTTAATCCTATCCTATACTATACTCTAGAGTAAAACTTCCCCGGGATAATATTTAGGTAGGACATAATCCTTGCTTACAAATGCACAGTGTGTGTGTTTGTGTGTGTGTGTGCGTGTGCGTGTGTGTGTGTGTGTGTGTCTGCTTGTACTAGTCCGGACTGATGCCGATTTACAGTGCTAGCCCACTGAGATACCATGCCGCAGTCTAACATGAATACAGACTGAGGAAACTTCAGCATGTTTTAGCCCCTTGATGCCGAGCGCCAGACAGGGTAACAACAAGTACCATCTTTTAACATCCTTTAGCCTAATACTACTCACTAATAGCGCTTTGAGCATGCCCATGAGCGGTGGGGAAATATGTGCAATATAAATAGCCTACTATTATTATTATAACTCAACTCCTGCTATATTTATTCGCACCAAAAGAAATGTGAACCATAGACACATATCGAGAAGTATGTACGTAAAGAAGAGATGTTTCCAGTGAGTACCAATTAATGACAAAATCAGTCTAGTGTTACCACAGAGTGTCTTTATTCTTATCACGATATGCTACACGTGATTTTCAAACTTTACATGCTAATCCTGCACGAGGCAAAGAGTGCATTTCAAGTCATGGATCTATGACGTCACATGTGATGCTTTCATGAGCGTCGGTTTACACAACATACCAGTATGTTCGTTTGTACAATCTAATATCTCTTGAATGTGAGTAATACTTGATACATTAGTCAACATGAATAGTATTCGCGTTTCTTTTGTCGGTGAGTATAGATATTACACATCGACTCCTTATTCAACACCTGCTATCAGATATAATACATGGACTCCTTATTCACCACCTGCTATTTAGATACAATACATCGACTCCTTACTCACCAACTGCAATATAGATATAGCACATCGACTCCTTACTCACCACCTGCAATATAGATATAACACATCGACTCCTTACTCACCACCCGCTATTTAGATATAACACATCGACTCCTTATTTACCATCTGTTATTTAGATATAACATATCGACTCCTTATTTACCATCTGCTATTTAGATATAATGCATCGACTCCTTATTTACCATCTGCTATTTAGATATAACACATCGACTCCTTATTTACCATCTGCTATTTAGATATAATGCATCGACTCCTTACTCACCACCTGCTATTTAGATATAACACATCGACTCCTTAATCACCACCTGCTATTTAGATATAACACATCGACTCCTTATTTACCATCTGCTATATAGATATAACACATCGACTCAAAAATCACCACCTGCTATTTAGATATTACACATCGACTCCTTACTCACCACCTGCAATATATTAGTTATTACACATCGACTCCTTACTCACCACCTGCTATATAGATATTACACATCGACTCCTTACTCACCACCTGCTATATAGATATTACACATCGACTCCTTACTCACCACCTGCTATATAGATATTACACATCGACTCCTTACTCACCACCTGCTATATAGATATTACACATCGACTCCTTACTCACCACCTGCTATATATATATTACACATCGACCCCTTACTCACCACCTGCAATATAGATATTACACATAGACTCCTTACTCACCACCTGCTATATAGATATTACCCATCGACTCCTTACTCACCACCTGCTATGTAGATACAATACATCAACTCCTTACTCACCACCTGCTATATAGACATAACACATCGACTCCTTACTCACCACCTGCTATGTAGATACAATACATCGACTCCATACTCACCACCTGCAATATAGATATAACACACCGACTCCTTACTCACCACCTGCTATATAGATATTACCCATCGACTCCTTACTCACCACCTGCTATGTAGATACAATACATCAACTCCTTACTCACCACCTGCTATATAGACATAACACATCGACTCCTTACTCACCACCTGCTATGTAGATACAATACATCAACTCCTTACTCACCACCTGCTATATAGATATTACCCATCGACTCTTTACTCACCATCCGCTATTTAGATATAACACATCGACTCCTTACTCAGCACCTGCAATATAGATATAACACATCGACTCCTTACTCACCACCCGCTATATAGATATAACACATCGACTCCTTACTCAGCACCTGCAGTATAGATATAACACATCGACTCCTTACTCAGCACCTGCTATATAGATATTACCCATCGACTCCTTACACACCACCTGCTATATAGATATTACACATCGACTCCTTAATCACCACCCGCTATTTAGATATAACACATCGACTCCTTACTCACCACCCGCTATTTAGATATAACACATCGACTCCTTACTCACCACCTGCAATATAGATATAACACATAGACTCCTTACTCACCACCTGCAATATAGATACAATACATCGACTCCTTACTCATCAACTGCAATATATTAGTTATTACACATCGACTCCTTACTCACCACCTGCTATATAGATATTACACATCGACTCCTTAATCACCACCTGCTATATAGATATAACACATCGACTCCTTACACACCACCTGCTATTCGGATCTTATACAGATACTACTCCTTACTCAACTCCTGCTAGATGATATAACACATCAACGTCTTCATCGTGCACTGACACATACGTATTACCAACGCCTTGATAAATATCTATCTCATTTCAATAAAGCACCAACATGCAGAAATGTCGAACATTGTGTCAGGTTGCTAAGAAATGGTAAATACGGTTGCAGTTCCCATCTCCATCTTCGACAACATGTACCTGTCCACCATCCTCAGCTACATCGCCATCTGGTTCCCCATCTTCCACGGCGTCTACGACAACCTCTCCGCCGTCGAACTCTCGTCATTTATCAGCAAGGTAGGGGGATGCTCTGTGTGTGGACATGCGTTTAACGTAATCTATTGTGTCTGCCCCCTCCTCACTCAACTGACCCTGTTTTCTTTATGCATATGGATATGGAATTTCTACGACAACCTCTCCGCCGTCGACCACTCGTCATTTATCAGCAAGGTAGGGGGATGCTCTGTGTGTGGACATGCGTTTAACGTAATCTATTGTGTCTGCCCCCTCCTCACTCAATTGACCCTTTTTTCTTTATGCATATGGATATGGGATTTCTCCCGAATTGACAAAATCAAAGACAAGGGAATTTAGCCAAGAATTTGAACTTAAGCTTCAGGTATATATCAATGATCTGATGTCGTTCAATAATGGTGAAACATGATTTACCCACCCACCTAGTTAGTAATAAAAGAGACCAGTGAAAACGCCTCATCTGCTTTATATTTAGATCTATGCATAAACATTCAGAGTGCCAAATATCTATCCACAAGCCTCATACGACTCTTGCTGAAAAGTGACTTGACAACATTCAAGGCCTTAGACTCAAGGTTTTCAAAACTTTGACGCATCAGTGACAAAAATGATGTCCGATGCAATTATCTATTTTGACTTGTGATATGTATCCCCATGTTTTTGCAGGTGAAACGTTGACTTGCCTTTGCATGTGTTTGTGAAGGAGTGCCACCGGTGAGACACCTTTTCGCGAACACCTGGTATCCACACTATTTGATAGTGATTCAGAAACGCATGCTTATGATAAAGTTGGAATCGTACAATGGTTCTGTCGCTTTTAATCAGGAATAAACTCAAAACAAGGTTTATTCCATGCCTATTTATGAGTGATTAATAAACACATGCTTATGATATGGACAGAATCGTATATGGATTTTGTGTGAGATATTTCAGTAAAATATTCATATGGTGAGGGCCACTTTTTTATGTCCATTTTTAGCACTGTAGGATGTACATGTGACATGTGTTTACATCGACATCCATGTTATGAGCAATATATGTTAAAAACTACCACAGTATATCAATCGCTGTGACAGCGCGTCATAATAAGTCAAGTGCAAGACATCAAAATGGCCGACGGGAGACGGAGACAAAGTTCCTAAGAGCTGTCACGCTGAACGTGTGGCGATTAGTCAGTATTGCTGAATTGACTGAATAAAGATTCTGTTAATGATTTGTCAGATAGGCGCTGAAGTAATTCCACTGATAACTGCAGGAAGCTGCTTAATGTCAGTGTAGTTCTCAGTCGATGTTTTCCATTTGTTCACTAGGGTGAGTACCATGATATTCAATCATGGACAAACATTCACATATACTCCGGGCTTTTTCAATGCACAAATCAATCATGAGTAAAATCAACCATGAGTAAAATCAACCATGAGTAAAATCAACCATGAGTAAAATAAGTATAAGTCGCTGGTGACTTTAAACAATGGTTCGGACTTTCGTATGAAACTCGATATTAATAGATCATGCTGATGGTCGTACGGACAACGCAAGACATTCTGTTTGCAGATGGTGGCACGGAAAACACTAGACATTCTGTTTGCAGATGGTCGTAAGGAAAACACAAGACATTCTGTTTGCAGATGGTCGTAAGGAAAACGCAAGACATTCTGTTTGCAGATGGTCGTAAGGAAAACGCAAGAAATTCTGTTTGCAGATGGTCGTAAGGAAAACGCAAGACATTCTGTTTGCAGATGGTCGTAAGGAAAACGCAAGACATTCTGTTTGCAGATGGTCGTAAGGAAAACGCAAGACATTCTGTTTGCAGATGGTCGTAAGGAAAACGCAAGACATTCTGTTTGCAAATGGTCGTAAGGAAAACGCAAGACATTCTGTTTACAGATGGTCGCACGGAAAACACTAGACATTCTGTTTGCAGATGGTCGTAAGGAAAACACAAGACATTCTGTTTGCAGATGGTCGCACGGCAAACACAAGACATTCTGTTTGCAGATGGACGTAAGAAAAAGACAAGACATTCTGTTTGCAGATGGTCGCACTGAAAACACATGACATTCTGTTTGCAGATGGCCGCACGGAAAACACCAGACATTCTGTTTGCAGATGGTCGTAAGGAAAACACATGACGTTCTGTTTGCAGATGGTCGTAAGGAAAACACATGACATTCTGTTTGCAGATGGTCGTAAGGAAAACACAAGACATTTTGTTTACAGATGGTCGCACGGAAAACACAAGACATTCTGTTTGCAGATGGTCGCACGGAAAACACAAGACATTTTGTTTGCAGATGGCCGCACAGAAAACACAAGACATTCTGTTTGCAGATGGACGTAAGAAAAAGACAAGACATTATGTTTGCAGATGGCCGCATGGAAAACACAAGACATTTTGTTTGCAGATGGCCGCACGGAAAACACCAGACATTCTGTTTGCAGATGGTCGTAAGGAAAACACCAGGCATTCTGTTTGCAGATGGACGTAAGGAAAATACAAGACATTCTGTTTGCAGATGGCCGCACGGAAAACACAAGACATTCTGTTTGCAGATGGACGTAAGGAAAAGACAAGACATTATGTTTGCAGATGGCCGCACGGAAAATACAAGACATTCTGTTTGCAGATGGACGTAAGGAAAAGACAAGACATCCTGTTTGCAGATGGCCGCACGGAAAACACAAGACATTCTGTTTGCAGATGGTCGCACGGAAAATACAAGACATTCTGTTTGCAGATGGTCGCACGGAAAACACCAGACATTCTGTTTGCAGATGGTGGCACTGAAAACACACGACATTATGTTTGCAGATGGTGGCACGGAAAACACAAGACATTCTGTTTGCAGATGGTCGCACGGAAAACACCAGACATTCTGTTTGCAGATGGTGGCACTGAAAACACACGACATTATGTTTGCAGATGGTGGCACGGAAAACACAAGACATTCTGTTTGCAGATGGTCGCAAGGAAAACACAAGATATTATGTTTGCAGAAAGTCACATGGTAACAACATGTAACTGCTGCTGATATAGTATAAATAACCTTATTCGCGTGTGGAGTTATCATCAATACGTTTATGGAATCGTTGGCAGTTTATGGAAACAAACATGTTGATCTTTGTAGACTCAAACAATATCAAATAATCTATTAACATTGCCCATTTTATCCAAATGCAATTGTCTTTGTTAGTCTGACATGTGTGGTCACATGTATATGCTTGTTTGTCGTCAAGTTATTGTGTGCAGTTGGGACACAAGGGATACCTGACAAACACTTTCTTTGAAGGAATATGCACATCATATCATATTACAAATACATGTATTACTATTGTGACGACCTTTTATATCTTGAGTTTATATCATTCATATCTGGGGCACTCTTTGTGTCTGTGGGGCGGTCGGGTAGCCTAGTGGTTAAAGCGTTCGCTCGTCACGCCGAAGACCCGGGTTCGATTCCCGACATGGGTACAATGTGTGAAGCCCATTTCTGGTGTCCCCCGCCGTGATATTGCTGGAATATTGCTAAAATCAGCGTAAAACCATACTCACTCACTCACTCACTCTGTTGAGCGATCGGGTAGCCTTGTGGTTAAAGCGTTCGCTCGTCACGCCGAAGACCCGGGTTCAATTCCCGACATGGGTACAATGTGTGAAGCCCATTTCTGGTGTCCCCCGCCGTGATATTGCTGGAATATTGCTAAAATCAGCGTAAAACCATACTCACTAACTCACTCACTCTGTTGAGCGATCGGGTAGCCTTGTGGTTAAAGCGTTCGCTCGTCACGCCGAAGACCCGGGTTCGATTCCCGACATGGGTACAATGTGTGAAGCCCATTTCTGGTGTCCCCCGCCGTGATATTGCTGGAATATTGCTAAAATCGGCGTAAAACCATACTCACTCACTCACTCACTCACTCTGCGGGGCGGTCGGGTAGCCTAGTGGTAAAGCGTTCGCTCGTCACGCCGAAGACCCGGGTTCGATTCCCGACATGGGTACAATGTGTGAAGCCCATTTCTGGTGTCCCCCGCCGTGATATAGCTGGAATATTGCTAAAATCGGCGTAAAACCATACTCACTCACTCACTCATTCACTCTGTGGGGCGGTCGGGTAGCCTAGTGGTAAAGCGTTCGCTCGTCACGCCGAAGACCCGGGTTCGATTCCCGACATGGGTACAATGTGTGAAGCCCATTTCTGGTGTCCCCCGCCGTGATATTGCTGGAATATTGCTAAAAGCGGCGTAAAACCATACTCACTCACTCTTTGTTTCTGTATTTCTAGAATGCCTTTGTCGTTGGTTACATGGTAAGCAGTTTCCAGAGTCTTGTTGACATCTCTGCCAAGATGGCGGACCTCGCGGGAGTCACACACAGGTACGACACAGGGGTGGTGGGGTTAAAGCGTTCGCTCGTCGCGCCAGAGGCCCGGGTTCGACTCCCAACATGGGTACAATTTGTGAGGCCCCTTTCTGACCCCCCCCCCCCCTTCACCCCCCCAGGCCGTGACACTGCTGTAATATTGCTAGAAGCGGCGTAAAACCATACACACTTACTCATTACGTCACAAAACCAGGAATGAATGTATTTCGTAACATTGTCTACAAATACCAGATATATAAACATGACTAAACACACCAAATATAAATATACATTTCTTAGTCGAAAGAGACATTGTGTAAATATTTTATCGGTAACAAAGTTAAGTGCATGTTAATAAACACTTAATAAGGCTTAATGTTGTGTGGGGCGGTCGGGTAGCCTAGTGGTTAAAGCGTTCGTTCGTCACGCCGAAGACCCGGGTTCGATTCCCGACATGGGTACAATGTGTGAAGCCCATTTCAGGTGTCCCCCGCCGTGATATTGCTGGAATATTGCTAAAATCAGCGTAAAACCATACTCACTCACTCACTTCATGTTATGTATATTGTTGCAATATAAATGAATCGATATTTTTGCTTCGCCCTAGTTATATTTTTAACTTAGGTTTGTTTTTTCATTTTGTTTTGCAACAAAAAGATAATGAAATTATGAAAACATTTACAACATTTAAAAAACAATATTGTTATTATTTTTATTTTTACTAGAGATTAAATATTTTATATCATCTCTGTTAAATACAATGTTGAACTCATTTTAGCTGTTACTTTATTCTTTATTTATAAAGAACAGTCCAAAACAACTGGTTATACCACACATATATATCCACTAATAAAGGAGTGAGTGAGTGGGCGAGTTTGACTTTACGCCGCTTTTAGCAATATTCCAGCAATATCAAGGCGGGGGACACCAGAAATGGGCTTCACACATTGTACCCATGTCGGGAATCGAGCCCGGTTTTTTTGGCGTGACGAGCGAACGCTTTAACCACAAGGCTACCCGACCCCCTCACATATAAATGAAACAGCAACATGCTAACACCTGTGTATTGCATGGACAATAGTAATAACACTGTAGTGGCGTCCTGGTGCATACTTCTGTCTCTTACATACATTCCGAAGTAACAGTCCGTAAATGGTTTGGTTTGGTTTGTGGTTTTACGCCACACTCAGCAATATTCCAGCTTTATGACGGCGGTCTTTATATAATCGAGTCTGGACCAGAAAATCCAGTGATTGACATCATGAACATCGATCCATGCAATTGGGATCGATGACATGCATCAACCAAGTCAGCGAGCCTGACGCCCGTTAGTCACATTTTACGACAAGCATGGTCGTCTTTTACGGCAAGCATGGGTTGCTGAAGATCTATTCTACCCCGGATCTTCACGGGCCAGTCCGTGAATGAATAGACGAAGATGGACAACATATGGTAATGGTCAACTCTGAAGATATTTTATTTTTATTTAGATTTTGATTACTATAGCTCCAGACTAGGTAAGAAATTTAGTAAGTGAAAGAAAAGAACTGATAGATGAAAATATCTACGTTTTTGTCATCAGATATATCTGTATTGCCGCATTCATATTGAAACCAGTGTCGTAGCAATAGTCATTGATCAATTGTTCTAAATAAATGCCACAGACAATTAAGGCCCATGAAGAGATCTGTCATCGTTACTATGATTCCATGTATTAGAAACTTTTGGTTTGCTTCTAGCTTGTCAATAGACTGTTTTACAAACATAAACTACGCAAATTCAATGTTCAACCAAGGTCAAAGTAGACACAATTTATGGATAACAACTTCTTTAAGATTTTTTATTTTTTGTTGTTGCATATTAATCCAGGGTTTGCACGTCATTACATTTAATATGTAAATTGCAAAATAATATAAAGTTAAAACATAACATTAGATAGTAAATAGTTTGTGACACAATGACAAATTTATATGCTTGTCAATTCCGGAACTTCAGATGGCCTTAAAACACATCTGTGACGTCATTCTATTGTTTGAACGCTCCATTATTTTTCAGGAATGGAGAGTTGTTTGTCAACTGTACATTATCTTGAAGCAGCATTTGAATTTTTTAAAATATTTTCAACTACAGAATATTTTGTCAAAGTGTAAAAGTAGGGATGAGTTTTAAGTAGGGAAATATCCTCGTAACTCTCCATTCCTTAAAAATAATAGGCCTCGACTCCATTATTTTTAAGGAATAGAGAGTTACTCGGACATTCCCCTCTACGTAAACGTTGTAAGGTCATTGTTGCAAAGATACGCTGACAGGTGAAAGCATCAAGAGGTAGTAAATGACACAATGTGCACGTTATTAGAGGGTTCTGTGAGTGTGTTTGGGGACAAATGTTCTTTTAAAGCATTGTATTCAATGAAAGCGTTAAGTGCAAATTCGGTGACTGTTAACTGACACTTTCATGTCGGTATATTATTCGCTAAAAAAAGACAACTGACGTTTTACATGAGAACGCGACCTGTACTTTACGTATGCAGTTTGTTTTGCAGTTCGTGTAAACTTTTTTCACAGAAGTTGACACCGAACAGGTGTCTGGCACAGGTAATTAGATGTTATTAAAATAGATACGAAGTATTGCTTTAGGGTGCATGTAATCATTAATGATTTCTAACTTTTGGCCCCATCATTTATATTTTTCTGACATTAATGATTATATGTCTATTCAAAATACCAGATTTCTGCTTTAAAGTGTTATTTCTGAACATGCAATGTTAATCACCTGTCAAAACTCCGATTTATCCGTTACAGCAAAAAAACAAAAAACATCATGTGCCACATTCTGAACAGTAGCCACTTTTGATGTTAAACCTTCAGGAACACATAAATGTCTATGGATAACATAACTAGGCCATATTTGAAACGCCTCGGGTCATCCCCGAAGGGGATTCGTACTGAAAATTGCCTTCAAAATCATTTCGAGGTTTTGTGATGACTGTAATGTGATTAGAGATATATATTAGAGGTATATATAAGTACACATAGGGTTAGATCCATCAATATATTTTCAACACTTTTCCTTTTTACGCTTAGGAATTTGTTTCGGCAGATAATCGAGACTGATTATTATCGGGCGTTTGAACTTTCTGCGCTTAACATGACGAGTTTACGAAAGAAATACTACTCTTCGAATGGGTGCAGATCGCTTCATGTGTTCATGATCGTGTCACGGTAAAAAGAAAAGGTCCCCAGAACTCTACGAAACACGCTTTATCATATGTTTCAGTATAAAACACGCTTTATCATATGCCGAAGAAAAGAAAACGCATTATCATATCCTGAATATGAAACACGCTTTATCATATTTTTCAGCATGAAGCACGCTTTATCGTACGTTGAAGTATGTAACACGCTTTATCATTTGCTGAATGAAACATACTTATCATATGCTAAAGTATGAAACATGCTTGGTCATATGCCGAAGTATCAAACATACTTTATCATATGCTGAAGTATCAAACATACTTTATCATATGCTGAAGTATGAAATAATCTTTATCCTATGCGCTAAAGAATGAAACATGCTTTATCATGTGCTGAAGTATGAAATGCGCTTTATCATATGCTAAGGTATGAAACATGCTTGGTCATATGCTGAAGTATGAAATAAGCTTTATCCTATACGCTAAAGTATGAAACCTGCTTTATCACATGCTAAAATATGAAACATGCTTTATCATATGCTAAAGTATGAAACATGCTTTGCCATATTCTGAAGTATGAAATACGCTTTGTCATATGCTGAAGTGTGAACATGCTTTGTCATATGCTGAAGTATGAAATGCACTTTCTCATATGCTGAAGTATGAAACACGCTTTGTTATATGCTGAAGTATGAGACATGCTTTATCTCATGCTCAAGTATGAAAATATGTTTTATCACATGCCGAAGTATGAAAGCATGCTTTATCATATTTTGAAGTAGGAAACATACTTTATCATATGCTGAAGTATGAAACATGCTTTATCATATAATGATGTATGAAAACATGCTTATCACATGCTCAAGTATGAAAATATGTTTTATCATATGCTGAAGTATGAAACACGCTTTCTCATATGCTGAAGTATCAAAACATGCGTATCACATGCAGAAGTATGAAACGTGTTTTATCATATGCCCAAGTATGAAACATGTTTTACCATATGCTGCAGTATGAAACACGCTTTCTCATATGCTGAAGTATCAAAACATGGTGAAGTATGAAACATGCTTCATCATATGTTGAAGGTGAGGTGACGTGAATTTGGGTTTAACGTCGCGTCCAAGATTATTGCACTTATATAGCGACGTGCATGCACGTGTGTGTGTGTGTGTGTGTGTGTGTGTGTGTGTGTGTGTGTGTGTGTGGCTGCTTGTACTAGTCCGGACTAATGCTAGCTCACTGAGATACCATGCCGCAGTTTAACATGAATACCCCATTCAGACACAGTATACTGACTCCGAGCCGACCAGTCCTCGTTTTAGTCCTTTTATGCCGAGCGCCAGACAGGGTAACAACAAGTACCATCTTTTAATGTCTTTTGATATGACGCAGTCGGGGATCAAACCCCGGACCTTCCGCTCTCCGGGCGGACGCTCTACCACTAGACCACGGAGGCGGTCATCATCATATGTTGAAATATGAAAACATGCTTTATCATGCTGAAGTATTAAACATGCGTTATCATATGTTGATATATGAAACACATTTTATCATATGTTGAAGTATGAAAACCTGTTTCTCATATGCTGAAGTATGAAACATGCTTTATCATATGCTAAAGTACGGAACATGCTTTATCAAATGTTGAAATATGAAAACATCCTTATCATATGCTGAAGTATGAAACATGCTTTATCATATGCTGCAGTATATAACCCACTTTATCATGTCCTGAATATGAAACACGCTTTATAATATGCTGAAATATGTAACATGCTGAAAAATGAAACATGCTTCAATGTTCGCTGAGGTATGACATGACATGTCAAATATTGCAGTATGACACATTTGATCGAATATTGAGGTTGGATACGCCTTCTGTGAACGCTTTATCTCATGCTGATGTATCATATGAGTATATCAGCAGGTGGCTGTTTTCTTCCCTTCTAATCTTCTTGACCCGTGAAGATTCGGGGTAGAATAGGTCTTCAGCAACCATGCTTGCCGTAAAAGGCGACTATGCTTGTCGTAAAAGGCGACTAACGGGATCGGGTGGTCAGGCTCGCTGACTTGGTTGATGCATGTCATCGATCCCAACTGCGCGGATCGATGCTCGTGATGTCAATCACTGGATTGTCTGGTCCAGACTCGATTATTAACAGACCGCCGTCATATAGCTGGAATATTGCTGAGTGCGGCGTTAAACAACAAACAAACAAACAAACAAATCTTATCTTCTTCATCAGAATTGGACAACTCACAGAGAAACTCCAGTCCATCAAAGACCTGGAGACCGAGCAGAGTGAGGGGGAGCGTGCCAGTCCAGACAGGTAGCAGATTCAGGTTGATTTCATCAGTTCAAAGGTCGGTGTCGGACACACACAAAAAATCGACGAATAGTGGAATTGAGGGGAATTATATTTGAATTATGTTTTTTACCTGATCGAACCTTTTATCTGTTCCCATAAAGTGTAGTAATGATATAGGCAGTGCTGCCAGGAGGACCACGTGTAAATTCTGACGGCGGCTACACATTAGGTTAGAGTTATTCACTTGTATATACTTTTATGTCAAACGTGGGGGCGCACAGGTCACAAGCCGGGCGAAGTTAAGGTGAGGTGAAATGGTTTTACGTCGCGTCCAAGATTATTGCACTTATATGCGCGTGTATGTGTGGCTGCTTGTACTAGTCCGGACTGATGCCGATTTATAGTGCTAGCACACTGAGATACCATGCCGCAGTTTAACATGAATACCCCACTCAGACACAGTATACTGACTCCGAGCCGACCAGTCCTTATTTTAGCCCCTTAATGCCGAGCGCCAGGCAGGGTAACAACAAGAACCATCTTTTAACGTCTTTTGGTATGATCGAACCCCGGACCTTCCGCTCTCCGGGTGGACGCTGTTCCACTAGACCACGGAGGCGGTCGCGAAGTTAAGCAACATTGGTCAAATTGAATTGGATGTGCTTCTTGGGCACATGGTACATGTGGTGTCTCCTGGGGAAGGTGACATTGTTTGCAAGAGGCCTCTGATCACCCAGCAGAGGTGGCGATGTGATTGTTAAACTTCTAGTGCCTCACATGCAGCTTTGACAGTAACCTCCCAATGGAGCTGAAAATGAAAATCGAGTGCACACTGATCAATTGACTGGGGCGATAATGTAACGCTATTTTAGAAGTCATATTATTATTGTTTATTGTTTATTCATTATTATTATTTTGGCCGATTTGATATGGCACTTCGATTGGTTGACACTCATTTATGTACCGTCCAGCAGTACAGAACCATCAACAAAATCACCATTGACATTGAGATAATGTCCTACATCCTTGGCTCGTTTAAGGAAACTGTGGAATGCCTTGTTTTCATCATGAGTCTTGACATGCTTCACAAGAGGATCATCAGACATTAAATGTGTGCAAAAGTGCGCAGTACAATTCAATCATGAAGGTCCTTCATGTTAATCAAACCACTCCCTCCCGTTATAACTGGTAAATATAAGCGATTGACGGAAAGCGAGGGTGGTGGGATCTATTGTCTGAAATGATTCTTCGGGTACAGCTATATATATAAAAAGTATTTGTGGCTTTGACTTTATTGCGAGCGTTCAGCTCTGAATTTATTTATTTATTTATTTATTTATTGAATTTCATTCATTCATTCATTCATTCATTCATGAATGAATGAATGAATGAATGAATGAATGAATGAATGAATTTATTTATTTATTTATTTATTTATTTATTTATTTATTTATTTCTTATTTATTTCTTATTTATTTTTTATTTATTCATTTTATTTATGTATTTATTTATTTTATTTATTTCATTTTCTTACTTACTAATATCAAAACATACACCTTTGTAGTTCTCACTGCGATTGACCAATGACTAAACACTGAAACATTATTACACAGTCTGTTGCACGTATCCAAACTCAGCGCTCCTTAAACTCCTTATGAATGTTTATAAAGTGCATGTCTCATGTGTTTCAGATCGGGGAGTATTGAAATGACGAACTACAGTCGGTGAGTGACAAGGGTAATTGACAATAGTCGGAAAATGGATACAGTGATAATACAAAAAGAAAGGCCACTTGCCAAAACAGTATCTCATTCCACGAGCAGCATGCATCGATATAAACGCCCGGGCGAAAGAAAGTATACATCCATGTTTGATGTGGCTTAAACCTGAAACAAACAAGAAATTGTTATTCGATGGTGATGTATCTGACACAGGTATCATATTTTGTTTCGGCGACTGTTGTGATAACGTTTGTAATTGTTTGGTCCGATCCAATTTTCAAGAGTATGGTTTCTTTAGCCCTGCAGTTTATAGTGAGTGAGTGAGTGAGTATAGTTTTACGCCGCTTTTAGCAATATTCCAGCAATATCACGGCGGGGGACACCAGAAATGGGCTTCACACATTGTACCCATGTCGGGAATCGAACCCGGGTCTTCGGCGTGACGAGCGAACGCTTTAACCACTAGGCTACCCGACCGCCCCCCTGCAGTTTATAAGCCATGAAACAAATTTACAGCAAATCCCGTATCTGGCATCTATACGGTGACTCAATGACCATCAAGGTCAATGGTTGCCGTACCCAGTCAACTCAAATGTGAGTGCACACCTCAATACAACTGCCTTGTTAAAACGTCATTCATTTGATTTGTGAGCTCTTTGCCTAGTGTACGCCAAACGGCTGCCATCTCTATGACCGTTTTGTCATGACACGTGTCAGCCTTTGATGCCGTTAAGTACTGCATACTTAATGGATGAATTGTTTTTGAATATGTTCTAAGGTCATCGTATATGTTTAGAATTTGTTTTCGTGTTTTCTTTCTTGACATTCTTCAACCCATGTTATAGTTGTTGACCGAACAGTTATCAAAATGCCACTGGTGACAGGAAAGAGTCGCTATAAAACTATAGTCGCCATATTTGAATTTGCATCTTGGCTTTCTCAAAAGCAGTGTCAACTCGTGTTAGAGAGCGGTGATTTTGAATCGGTCATTACCACGAACCAATGCATGGGCAAAGTCTTTGGTTTGTTAATCCTGAAAAAATTCATGTAACTAAGTCTGTGGCAGACGACAATCGGTGGGAATTGGCCACAGGAGGTTAAAATTCGAAACGAAGGGTCGCGTTGCTTAGCCACAAATGGCCGACTTGGGATCGAATCCCAGAATCTCTCGGTCCGTCTCATTCGTGACCAACTCGTGTTATTCCGGGACAAGCCGAATAGCGACTCGTGCCCCTCTCATGGCCATTTTTAACAATTGTTAACTCGTTGCGTAATGGTTTACATATATTTTCCCATATATTATATATATTTCAGATGCAATTTAAAGCACATCGGGACATGCGAAGTTATACAGTATGCTTGAACACATTTAACTGTGTCTTGAGTATATTTTAGGATGCAAGACATATGTAAAATCAAAAATTATTTCTGATGGATTCTTTGAGGAAGAACTTGAAATCATACGCGCACTCTGATTGGTTTGTCGTATTTTAGCACATAACACTCATCGATAGGGGGACGAGTCTTCTTGCAGGTCACGGAAAGGGGCGAGTGGTGACCAATGGGTCCGTCTACATCATTTCGTCACCACTCGCCCCTTTCCGTAACCTGCAAGACCGGAATAACACGAGTTTGTCACGAATGCGTCCACATTAGATCAGTCTTCTTCTGTGTGAGCGACATTTCTGTAGTCACTGCCACTTGAAATGGAATCACGAAATATCGCGATGATTAATTGATATACTTATAGAATGAAAACAAGCTATTCCGCAGATAAGCAATATTATTCACCATAATGACAAATATTGCAAAGTGTCCCCTTTTAAGGCAGACGTGTGGAGGAAATTCCAAATTTGACGCTTCATTGACAAAATATTATGTCCGATGCAATTCCCTTTACTGGTTTGTACCATATGCTCCCGTGAACAGGAGGCACGGGTGGCGGAGTCGTCTTAGGCGCCGCGATTCGCTGTGCAGAGTTGCGTCCCTTGGGCACGCCAGAAACCTATGATTGTGGGTTCGAATCCCGGTTCGCCCCAATTATGTTTCTATGTTTGTCAGCACCGTACCCGTGCTCGTGAGTTTCGCCGAAGTAGTAAACGTCTGAGACCTGCATCACTTCGGGCTTTCCTTCCACATTAAGCTGACACTCCGTGATATAACTAGAATACTGTTAAAAGCGGCGTTAAACCAAACTCACTCAGGTGAACAATTGACTTGCCTATATGTGTGTTTGTGACGGGTGCCACCTTTTCGCGAACACCTGGCATCGTCACTATTTGGTAGTGATTCATTGACACATGTTCATGATATGGCCGGAATCGTATAATCGACTCTGTCAAAAACAGATTTAAAGGCGACAATGCTTGTCGTAAGAGGCGACTAACGGTATCGGGTGGTCAAGCTCGCTGACTTGGTTGCATTCATTGGATTGTCTGGTCCAGACTCATTTATTTACAGACCGCCGTCATACAGCTGGAATATTGCGGAGTGCGGCGTTAAACAACAAACAAACAAACAAAATCAGATTTCTTATGAATATAGAAAGGGTTTTTATTTTCAAATATGTCTATTTTGCTAGCGATTATCATTATTTTTGAGTTTTAGCATCACGTGGTTACAATCGTGTTGAGAATCGACAGCCAGTTGACTGCTAGCGGTTATATTTAGCCGTGAACTTGGTCAATAGCGCTTTAAATACTACATCTGCACGTGCTTTTCTTTCAGTTCGTGCTGGAAAAGTACGTGCGCTGCACTCACTTCTAAATATAGTTACTCGTCGTCACCTGACTGCCGATCCCCAGTCGTGTGATCAAAACTCGATGATGCGTATCGCTATTTAAAAAATAGACATTTCTCGAGAAGTGAAGTTTTCATTTTTGTCACTGCTGTAAGTAATATTCCGAATGGCTAGTTTAAACTTTATTAGTTTCAGCGCACGTGTAGCTATCTTGGTTAATTAATCATCGCGATTTTAAGTGATTTCATGTGGCGGGGACTACAGATAGATGGATGGACGCGACCAAAGATTCTCCCTACTTCTCTGTTCCACATGGGCGGTCGGGTAGCCTAGTGGTTAAAGCGTTCGCTCGTCACGCCGAAGACCCGGGTTCGAATCCCGACATTGGGTTCAATGTGGGAAGCCCATTTCTGGTGTCCCCCGCCGTGATATTGCTGGAATATTGCTAAAAGCGGCGTAAAACCATACTCACTCACTCACTCTCTGTTCCACAGCCCAACTTCAGTGTTGTGTTTGAAAGGTGGAATATATATATCGGAATCGTTTATTTTTATTCATGGAATTTTTTCTACAATTTACAAACTTTACAATTACCCAGCCAGCCAGCGTTATGACACTTTTAGCATTATTGTAGTTGAGAGATTGCCAGAAAAGAACGAGGACGGATAGAGATTGTCAGTAGTACAATATCTCCATTGTTTAAGTCAGCTGGTTAACTTGATATAAGACCACTGTACACATGTTGACAAGTTTGACAAATCGTCGTTAGGTAACATTATATTTAGTTTGTTTCCTATTTTATGAGTAAATAGTCATGTTAGGCTCGTTTCCTTAATAGGTAGAATATTAATTTACAGTCACTATTTTTCTAAATGTTTAACCAGCGTTTGAAACGAAGTGTTAATCTCAAATACGGTAAGTATGTTCGCTCAAGCTGAACTTGTACACGAGTTTGTCAAATGTTTGGCATTGATTTTTAATCCTCCGATCGCTTCCGGTTCCATAACATTTGGATAGTAGCGTATTTTGTCCTTGGAATATTTTCTTCTTGGGTTTGGAGGAGCTGAGATGGACAACAGCATTATTTGTGACTTGATGACAGATAAAATATGAAAACGTTTATTTTAGAAACGATGTTGAACTCTCCCCCGTTCATACACTTAAGATTTTCTCAGCAATTGGATCTGAAACTGTGTACTGGGTTCCGTATTAAACTTGTTTTGTAAACACCAACTCTATCGCAATGTGGCGTTAGGTGTTCTCTCGCTTTAAAACCGGGCGATCTATACTAACACCGCTGAAACAGCTTCAAATCTCACTTTTCACCGAAATGGTAAACGTCTGAGACCTGCATCACTTCGGGCTTTCCTCCTACATTAAGCTGACACGCCGTGATGTAACTGGAATACTGTTAAAAGCGGCGTTAAACTCAACTCACTCAAATCTCACTTTCACTTTAAATATTTATTATTACCTTGTTGCCTTGACAACTGCGCTAAGTAAGCGGGTATGGGTTTACGCCGACTTTTAGCAATATTTCAGCAATATCACGGCGGGGTACACCAGAAATGGGCTTCACATATTGTACCCATGTCGGGAAACGAACCCGGGTCTTCGGCGTGACGAGTGACCGCTTTAACCACTAGGCTACCAAACCGCCCCTACAACTGCGCTAAACCTGAGCTTGTCTTCACTTTGTAAGAAGACATTCAAACTGCCAAACCAGTTAGGAGTTGTGGAGCTAAACCTGGCCCAGTAATCAAAGCTAGGAAATAGATGAAATGATTGTGTAATGCAGGCAGACAGAGAGGCGGCAAAAGGCTTTCCAGTGTCACGATGTGACCTATGCACCCCCGGACGTCGACGTCATGCTGTGTAAAAGTAAGACCAAGTTCCGATAGCACTTCATACTGCAGTCTTAAATCCAGAAATACATAGTGGTGTTGATGTACACATGAAAGGCACGGTTCATACAGCACAAGGGAAGCATGAGTGTGATGTCTTTAGGTATAAGGGGCGTGCTGTGGGGACTGTTGGAGGTGGGTGGTGGGGCGTGGTGTGAACACGGAAACTGTGGTATGGTGGTGGCTGGGGCGTGGTGTTGACACGGAAACTGTGGTATGGTGGTGGGTGGTGTTGACACTGAAACTGATTGGTGGTTGTAGGTGGGGCGTGGTGTGAACACGGAAATTGTGGTGTGCTGCTGGGTGGGGCGTGGGGTGAACACGGAAACTGTTGTGTGGTGCTGGGTGGGGCGTGGGGTGAACACGGAAATTGTGGTGTGGTGCTGGTTTGGGCGTGGTGTGAACACGGAAATTGTTGTGTGGTGCTGGGTGTGGCGTGGTGTGAACACGGAAACTGTGGTGTGGTGCTGGATGGGGCGTGGTGTGAACACGGAAATTGTGGTGTGGTGCTGGGTGGGGCGTGGTGTGAACAAGGAAATTGTGGTGTGGTGCTGGGTGTGGCGTGGTGTGAACACGGAAACTGTGGTGTGGTGTTGGGTGGGGCGTGGTGTGAACACGGAAACTGTGTTTGTTGGGGCGTGGTGTGAACACGGAAACTGGTATGGTGGTGGGTGGGGCGTGGTGTGATTACGGAAACTGGTCTGGTGCTGGATGGGGCGTGGTGTGAACACGGAAACTGGTGTGGTGCTGGGTGGGGCGTGGTGTGAACACAGAAACTGTGGTGTGGTGCTGGGTGGGGCGTGGTGTGAACACGGAAACTGAGTTGTGGTGGTAGGTTGGGCTTCGTGTGAACACGGAAACTGCGGTGTGGTGCTGGATGGGGCGTGGTGGGAACACGGAAACTGCGGTGTGGTGCTGGATGGGGCGTGGTGTGAACACGGAAATTGTGGTGTGGTGCATGGTTGGGCGTGGTGTGAACACGGAAAGTGGTGTGGGGCGTGGTGTGAACACGGAAACCTTTGTGTGGTGCTGGGTGGCGCGTGGTGTGAACACGGAAACTGTGGTGTGGTGCTGGATTGGGCGTGGTGTGAACACGGAAACTGTGGTGTGGTGCTGGGTGGCGCGTGGTGTGAACACGGAAACTGTGCTGTGGTGGTGCTTGGCGGGGTATAATCACGGAAACTGGTGTTGTGCTAGAACGGGCATGGTGTGAAGACGGAAACTCTGGTGTAGTGGTGCTGCGTAGGGCTTGGTGCATCATCTCGTGGCAAGGGAGTTAACTGACTATAGTGGCGTAGTGTGTAAGGGTGAAACGATACACCGATATTCCGATGCATCGCGATACTTGACCCACGATACGATAAATACGATAAACGTGGGCCCATTTATCGATACGCCACGATACGGAACGCAAATCTCAAGTACAGCGTTTCCTCGCTATTGTGCCTTTCAAAAACCGCTAACTTGGTTATAGCGCGCGCTAACGCATGACTCCCCAAAACGTACTTACATTTTTAATAAGCTCAGGTTTTACACCGACAGATGTTTTTCCCCATCTCATAAAACATTATCAGCTGATCACCGCAAGCACATATCACCGAAAATACCAGCCAGCAAATCCGAACTGAAGTACGCAATTCAATACCATTATTATACTATCTTGTTATTAAACGTGTTCATTGTATATCTGGACTTGTGTTTGTAATATATTTTATTAACTTTATTCAAAATTTCATTTAATATTGTTTTCATTGTATGAAGAGATACAGCAACCACGGTCAGATCACCGCTTTTGACGCATTGAAACGAACTTTAGTTGCTAGAGAATGGATACATATATTACAAATGCCATACTTTGACTCGTTAAAAGTCATATTTGTGGCAATTTGGCTAATATATGTCAACATAACGTTTTCGCAATCGAAATACATGTAGCACGGGAAGTCCCTAGGGTGACTGGTCAAATTGTTCCATACGTAAAAATATCCTGCAACAGCAATCACCAGTAACAAAATGCTACACTTGTGGTTCTTATAATTTTAAATATATATATAGTAAAAGCTGCAACTAAGGTAACACGATATTGGAATATATTATTCCTGATAAAACAATAATTTCAGATACAATTTCTTCGACCATAGCATCAAAATTCTTTGAAGTTGTATCGCTGGTGGAGTACATTAAATATTTTCTGGTGTTTGAACTTTGAATTGTTTTGAAGAAAAGTTAGAGAAAGTTCCACTTCGAAGCTGAACAACGGCAGTAGTCTTCTCATTATAAAATAATTTTGACTGTTCCAAAATCATGAAAGGTTCAATCTTGACATGCTTAAAGTCTTGTTTTTTTATCATTGCGTATCGAGATACGTATCGTATCGTGACCAGAATATCGAGATGCGTATCGTATCGTGACCTTCCTGTATCGTTGCAGCCCTAGTAGTGTGAACACGTAAACTGTGGTTCTGCTGGGCATGGTGTGAACACGGAAACTGTGGTTCTGCTGGGCATGGTGTGAACACGGAAACTATAATGTGGTGGTGCTGAGCGTAGTGTGGACATGGAAACTGTGATGTGGTGCTGGGCGTGGCGTAGTGTGGACACGGAAACTGTGGTTCTGATGGGCATGGTGTGAACACGGAAACTGTGATGTGGTGGTGCTGGTCGTAGTGTGGACATGGAAACTGTGATGTGGTGTGCTGGGCGTGGCGTAGTGTGAACACGGAAACTGTGGTTCTGATGGGCATGGTGTGAACACGGAAACTGTGATGTGGTGGTGCTGGTCGTAGTGTGGACATGGAAACTGTGATGTGGTGCTGGGCGTGGCGTAGTGTGAACACGGAAACTGTGGATCTGATGGGCATGGTGTGAACACGGAAACTGTGATGTGGTGGTGCTGGGCGTGGCGTAGTGTGGACACTGAAACTGTGGTTCTGATGGGCATGGTGTGAACACGGAAACTATAATGTGGTGGTGCTGGTCGTAGTGTGGACACGGAAACTGTGGTTCTGATGGGCATGGTGTGAACACGGAAACTGTGATGTGGTGGTGCTGGTCGTAGTGTGGACACGGAAACTGTGATGTGGTGTGGTGGGCGTGGCGTAGTGTAACACGTAAACTGTGGTTCTGTTGGGCATAGTGTGAACACGTAAACTGTGGTGGTGCTGGGCATGGTGTGAACACGTAAACTATAATGTGGTGGTGCTGGTCGTAGTGTGGACACGGAAACTGTGATGTGGTGTGCTGGGCGTGGCGTAGTGTGAATACGTAAACTGTGATGTGTTGGTGCTGGTCGTAGTGTGGACACGGAAACTGTGATGTGGTGTGCTGGGCGTGGCGTAGTGTAACACGTAAACTGTGGTTCTGTTGGGCATAGTGTGAACACGTAAACTGTGGTTCTGCTGGGCATGGTGTGAACACGGAAACTATAATGTGGTGGTGCTGGTCGTAGTGTGGACACGGAAACTGTGATGTGGTGTGCTGGGCGTAGTGTGGACACGGAAACTGTGATGTGGTGTGCTGGGCGTGGCGTAGTGTGGACACGGAAACTGTGATGTGGTGTGCTGGGCGTGGCGTAGTGTGAACACTTAAACTGTGGTTCTGTTGGGCATGGTGTGAACACGGAAACTCGAGTGTGGCGGGGGGGTGGGGGCGGCGTGGTGTGAACACGGAGAATATGGCGTGGCGTGGCGTGGCGTGTGATGGGACGATATTTGTCGTGAAATGGCCCACATACTCATACGTTCAACAAATTTTGTCCCGTTTAATGTTTAACGCTTCTGCCACTATTGCCTTAAAGAGTCATTAACAGAAGTGGTTTCTTCCAGATATAAGCTTCCAGCTGGAGAGTGGAGTTAACGTCCTAGTTACAGGAGACAGCGGCTGTGGGAAGAGTGCCCTCCTACGAGTCATCAATGGCTTGTGGACAAATGCTACAGGTATGTGAAGTAACTAAACCCCAAGGCAAGGGACTTCACTGTTAGTGAATATTATATCAGTTTTAATGTGCATGAAAAGACACATATTCCCGAAGCAAGAGAGTTAACTGACTGTAAAAGTCCAGTTTCCATCATTGCCGAACTAGGCTGGAATTTCTGGGCTCGATCGTAGCGCCACCAGTGGCTATTACGAGTTATGTCCCTTCTATGTCCCTCCTATTGACCAATAAGATTCCACCTCTCATATCACTTACATTTGCTTCAAACAAAGTGGCGGCGCCCAGTCAAGATGATCTGATCGGTAATCAAGATCTATATTGTAATAAAACGAGTCTTACTTTGCGAATCACGTGAGCACCTTAATTAAAAACATGACGGTACACATGCTTTGCAAATCCTGCAGTCGACCGAGATATGCACGGCAGTTTACGAACCGGATATCGATTTCTTTACACGACTTTGATCGGACTATGACTAGACTCGTTAGTCCAGCTAGAATATAACACCAGAATTACAGCCTAGTTCGGCGAGGGTGGAACCCTACTTGTATGGTCTGTTGCCTCGGGAAGATGGTTGAATCCCCGAATGTAAACACTTTCCCACACATTGTAACAATATCAATGGTCGGTTGAAGCAATGTGATGTCGTTGTTGATCATAGTTGAGATCAGTATGATATAACTGGTACTCGTTGACTTCTACAGAAAGGGGCAATGGGGTAGCCTAGTGGACAAAAGCGTTTTCTCGTCACGCCGAAGACTCGGGTTCGATTCCCGACATGGGTACAATGTGTGAAGCCCATTTTCCGGTGTCCTCCGCCGTGATATTGCTGGAATATTGCTAAAAGCGGCGTAAAACCACATTCACTCACTCTGCAGAAAGACAGCCATCCAGCTTGTGCAGTCACCCTTGGATTTCGGTCAATGTTTACTGGTTAGGACTTACTTCTTTCAGTGGCATTTAGAAGTTGGTGTGTTGAAGTAAGACGAGTTCTATGGATGAACAACTTCTTTATTACAGTTAGTGCTGCTTGATTGTTGCCCAGGATCTTGATGTTGTTCCACTGGATATTGTGGTCGGATGGGTTTGGGTGTAGTCGGAGATGGCTGATTTTGAGTGATTCTTTTTGTACTGAGGTCTTGTGTTCTTTTATTCTAATGGGTAGGGGCCTGGATGTTTCTCCTACATAGGAGTCGCCACAGTCATATTGTATGTGATATACGACACCAGCTGGGTCTTCTTTCTTTGATGTAGGGGGCTTGCCATTGGCACTGAGGATGTTCTGGATTGTCCTGCCTCTCTGGAATACTGTATCAATGTTGGCGTGGTGTTTGAGCAGTCTGTGGATCTGGTGGCTGGCTGTTCCTATGTAGGGAAGACTGATGACAAAGGGGGCTGTCTGTTGTCGTGGAGGCCGCTCTCTGGGGCTGAGGATGCTGTTGATTGTTTTTTCAACTAGGCTGGTAGGATAATTGTTGAAGTTAGTGAAGACATGGCACTAATTGTAAGTTGTTCATCCATAGAACTCGTCTTACTGGTTAGGACTTGTTGAAAGACTTGTTGGTCATGGGTCATCCAGTTAATGTTGACTGTAGTAAGGGGTTATTGAAAGACCTGTCAACCTTGGGTTATCCAGTCAATTTTTACTGGTTAGGACTTGTTGAAAGACCTGTCACCCTGGGTTATCCGGCAAATGTTTACTGGTTAGGGGTTGTTGAAAGACTTGTTGGTCATGGGCCATCCAGTCAATGTTTACTGGTAGGGGGTTGTTGAAAATGGTCAATGTTTGGCACATCGATGTGGGGAGAGCTCCTGGTCAAGTGCTGCAGACAGGCCCGAAGGACATTCAGTCTTACTCCTCTTGATATACACATGTGTTAGCGCTTAAATCTGAACAAATTTGCTAACGTAACATATACACTATTGTTATATCTGTCGATCTTGCCTATTCGTGTAGGTCGCGTAGACCGGTATCTGAAGAATGGTCGACATGGCATCTTCTACCTTCCACAGAAACCATACTTCACGAGCGGCTCAATCAGAGAACAGGTGGTACCTTGCACGGCTGTGGACCATAGTTCGTAACGATAACATTTTTAACAAAGGAAACAATAGAGAAGAACATCATTTGTTAGGTTTCATGAGAAGGATATAACACGTCATATATATAAGATTTATTACCCTCAGCAGAAAGTAAATACCGGTAATAGCGATAAGTCGACCTTTGCTTTAAGACACTTAATGTTTTGAGTCTTTGTGTACTTGTACACCATTTCGTGAACGAGAAACGACGATTTTTTCTTACCGAATCATCTTTTTATTACCGAAGCTTTCTTCTATTCTCAGGGGTTCATAATCACAAACAGAATTGTGTTTTACCCTGTTTTGAAACAAAAGAAAAACTATCAAATACTACAAAAAAAGATTGACAATGTTTGTCAAATTTCGAGCATGTACAACTGCTTGTGTTGTTTGTCTATACGTAAGGCCTTAGCGGTCGAATTTGTGTCGAGCTCGAAATAAAATACTTAAATGCCACAAGGTATACGTGTTCGGATACCAAAATGAAAATTGAATAGGAAAATTTATAACAAGTATGACAAGTTGCTATATTTGAGGTACAGCAGGCCTCAAAGTTTAAATTACTACCAAGTAGCCATATGGCTACAAGTATTTTTTTCCAGGGAGCCAGTGGTAAAATCAAGAAGTCAAGCCAATATTGTAGGTAGCCAAAAGCATTTGAAATGATCTTTTATCAAATAACTATCATAATATGTACAAGTTATAGCACTAGTCTTGAAATTGTATATTAGTGGAAACTGTACATGCTGTACTTGAGTTTTGTTATTTGTGACTCGAGCAATGATGCAGTTTATATTACTAGATTATATAGGTATATCCTTGCTTATCCAATAAACTATCAACTAAAATAAAATACTAATTACATTAATATTTATGCATTTCGGTTCATTGTTGACTTTAGGAGGAATTATTTGCAAGTACAATCAGTAGCAGACACATTTATTTTTGTGTCTGCATATGTGTAGCAACAGAATTTAGTCGCCAAAAGATATTTTTGAAGGTAGTCATTTGGCTACCTCAGTCTTTTAGACAGTAGACAAATTGAATTTAGCTCGCATTGGCCACCGTTTTAGTCGTAACTCTGAGGCCTGGTACGTCGTTTCTTTGAGCCATAAAGATCTTTGTAACGACCTTTTCAGCAGATTTCGTGTCATTTATGCTTGTTAGGAAACATTCAAGCAACATGCCGGTCGAACCAGACAATATGCATCATTGTATAGAGGTTATGGGAATCTCATAAATCTAAGAAAACAATAGATGACAGTAGTTTTTTTTATTTCAGATACTTCACCCGTCAACTGAAGATGAGGGATTTGTTGGTACGTTCTTGGATGTTCTAAGACATCATGGGCTGTTGATCCAGAAAATGACTCATTTTATCAAATAGTTGTTCACTCATGTGAATATGCAAAGTTTCATTACTTTCCCAGAGATTTTTTATTTAATTAGATATACTGCTTGGCTGACATCCTAGGGCAGATATGCTCACCTGTCAGAGCTAGTCATCAATCAGTTTATTTCAGTACTTTCAGGCCTCAGGTCTTTGTGTACAAAATTTATAGCACAGGCGGAATTATAGTTAACGGTACATTTCCTCCATATGTGCACAGTACAAATATTTTGCAAAATTTGTAATGACTTTATAGAGTTTGGCGATGACATCAAAATGTTAAATGTTGAAGATAGAACTTAGTGTTAATATAGTGTTGTCTTAAATGTTCGTACGCTGGACACACTAAAATAAATTGGAATTCAAAGCTCGTATACAACGAATGTATTGCACGTGGCTTGAAATAAACGTTGTAAAATATTGATCGAAGAGTGAAAAAATACTCCGCCGTTTATTTCGACGTGTGGTTCCAGGCTTGGAGAGAATGCATGACGTTTTGTCCCTGGTGGGTCTGACGGGTCTGCTTGCAAGGGCAGGGGGTCTGGACACAGACCCAGAGTGGAACTGGTGAGGACCATGTTAGACATTGTGTTAATTCTCGTGATTCTGATTGTGTTGTGTTACATCTGATTAACATAAACGTGTCTGCACGATGATGAATCGGTTTGGTTTTGGTTTGGTTTGTTGTTTTACGCCGCACTAAGCAATATTCCAGCTATATGACGGCGGTCTGTAAATAATCGAGTCTGGGCCGTACAATCTGGTGATTTACATCATGAGCATCGATCCACGCAATTGGGATCGATGACAAACATCAACCAAGTCAGCGAACCTGACCACCCGATCCCGTTAGTCGCCTCTTACAAGCATGGTCGCCTTTTACGGCGAGCATGGGTTGCTGAAGACCTATTCTACCCCGGGTCTTCACGGGCACCATGATGAATCGGACAGGTGTGGCTGCTGACTGATAAACTGTGTATAACGTACTTCTTGTGGAGATGGAGTCCGATGAGTTTTCTGTTGATGTAAATGTTTGTGTATTGTTTTATACACTGCAGTCAAACCAGTGGTTGATATTAGCAACGTCCAACGCCGTCTGCGTACGTGACACGAACCTAGGATGACCCTTGTTACGAGTGAAGAATAGGTCTTCAGCAACCCATGAGTGTCGCAAGAGGCGACTGACGGGATCGGGTGGTCAGTCTCGCTGACTTGTTTGATGCTCATGATATCAATCACTGGATTGTCTGATCCAGACTCGATTATCTATAGACCGCCGTCATATAGCTGGAATATTGCTGATTCCGGCGTAAAGCAACAAACAAACAAAAAGTAAATGAGAAAGATAGACAGGTGGTGCTCCAATAGCTTGGCTTCAGTTATAAAGCGAAGGCTCCCTAAATACAATGTTTATTCCTAATAAGGATATTTACCATCCCCAAACACACAAGCGTGACAACCTCTTTATCATAAAATGTCATTCTTCAATTCTGTGCTCTTCCCATCTCTCACAATCATTAGCTGAACATTGCTGCGCATTAATATACGTCAGAGGGTTAGTGATGTGACAGTGACGGCAGCCAAAATAGTTCCAACAGAAACCTGTTTCACATACAGTGGCGTAACTACATATATGCAAAACAATTGCCAACACAAATTGTTTTTACTTGCCTTTCGCGGCAATCCATCGGTCTGTCCGCTAGAGTAACTGCCCTTTATCAAAGGGAAGCTACTCTAACCCTAGTCTATGAAACGTCACGGCCAAGTTCTGACGTTTTTGACACTGGGCCTGTCCTGTCATAACGTTGCGAAGTGCAGTCAGATGTACACACAGCGACAAAACGAAACAAGGTAACAATTCGAACATATTTCGGGCAAATCCAACTGTTTTAATTTGTGGAGAAGGTTCCATGCCCTCGCTAAATGGTCGCTAGTATGAGCACGCTGCTATTAGTAGTCAGGCCACTTCAGTCCTCCTGATGCTCATTAAGATTGTTTATAACGAGAATGTTTATATCTGATGAATGTATGTGGCCTAATGGCGAATATGAGGACTACCTATTTGTTTTATGACAGGTATGATGAACTTTCGCAGGGAGAAATGCAGAAACTGGCATTTGCTAAATTGTTCTATCACCAGCCAGCGTTTGCAGGTGAGTGAGTGTTTTGTTTGTTTGTTGTGTATTGCCGCACTCAGCAATATTCCAGCTATATGAGGGCAGTCTGTAAACAATTGAGTCTGGACCAGACAATCCAGTGATTGATATCATGAGCATCTATCCATGCAATTGGGATTGATGACATGCATCAACCAAATCTGCGAGCCTGACCACCCAATCCTGTTATTTGCCTCTTAGGACAAGCACAGTCGCCTTTTACAGCAAGCATGGGTTGCTGAAGACCTATCATTAACTTCTTAGCCCATGCATATTGTATAAATCTGCTATGATGAGGATGAGATCTATTCTACCCCGAATAGGTGAGTGAGTGAGGGGGTAGTGAGTGATACGGTGGATGGGAAACTGTAATGAAACACTCATTGAAGTGCTTGTCAATTGATGGAGTAAGGAGTGAGTGAGTAGCGTTTAACACGCTTTGAACAGTATTCGAGTTATATCACAGCCTGTCAGCAATAATGAGGGAAGAAAGCCCCAAGTAATGCAGGTCTCAGACATTTACCACTTCCTTAAAACCCACGCACAGGCATGGTGCCCACAAACCTAGAAATTCGAACCCACAATCATAGCATAGGTTTCTGGTGTCCCCATGGGACACAACTCTGCACAGCAAATTGGGGCTCCTTAGACGACAGGGCCACCGGTGCCGCGAATAGAGAAATAAGCTGTTCTGATTCCGCCTGTCTTGTTTCCAGTGTTGGACGAGTCTACCAGTCAGCTTGGTATCCGTGACGAGAACGCCATGTATGAAGCATGTAGCAGACTGGGAATGACGGTGGTCAGTGTGAGTCACCGGCCTAGTGTCAGGGAGTTCCACCAGATGGAGCTCCACCTGGATGGCGAGGGCGGGTGGCACATGGCTGCCATTGTTGACCCACATACAAGGACAGAGGAATCTCAAGCTTGAGACATAACATCTTACACCTTCTTAAATTTAATGCTGTAATTCCACAGGTTTTCCAAGCAGATGTATACTTTAGATCGTGATTGACAACAGTACTGCATCTTGACATCTTTCCTGTAATATTTGTTTGTGTAAAAGAATGAAAAGGGCTAAAGAAAAACAAATAAATATTCAACTTTTCAAACAATTTATTTAATTTATAGTGTAAAAACAGGTCTTTGCAAAATATGACACTGTATGAACATGCAATCCAATCTTTCTACCACATGATCCCAAACAACATACAAAAAACACCCTTCCAGCATACAAGAAGGCACCAAATCATCTGCTACTGTTTTGTTCGCCAACACAACACTGCAGTTTACATTAACACACATTCAAACTAAAATGTTAGACTAGGTGGGCAGTGTGGAATGAGAATATGTAAATTCCCTTCTGTCTTTTTAGCCCTTGGTTATTCCAGGTTTAGCATTGGTCCCCAGCAACCTATGCTGGTCGTTTATGGGGACTCCTAGTTGGGGACTCCAAGATGGAATTGGTCCCCATCGACCTATGCTGGTCGTACCATGGGGACTCCTAGTTAGAATTGGTCCCCAGCAACCTATGCTGGTCCTACAATGGGGACTCCTAGTTAGAATTGGTCCCCAGTAACCTACGCTGGTCCTACAATGGGGAAACCTAGTTGGAATTGGTCCCCAGCGACCTACGCTGATTGTAAGAGGCAACTTAATGGATTAAGACCCAGTGACTTGGTTGATAGCGTGTCACCGTACCCCGATGGCGTGGATCGTTGCTCACAATATCGACCACTGGAATGTCTGGTCTGGACTCCATGATTTATAGGCTGCCATCATATCGCTGGAATATTGCTGAGTGAGGCGTTAAACAAGAAGCACACATATTGTCTATGTTTCCTTTGTGGAGCCAGATCATGTCGTAGAACGAAACCTAGGAATAAAATCTGAAGCAGATGTAATGATATGTTTAAATCAAACCAGGACGACACAACACGTTCACATGTCCATCAGTTAGCTGCACTTATTAACCTTAGCAAATATACATAGCATATAAATTGTATATGAACATATTCAGGGAAATGAACACAAATTAGGGTTTGGACGGGTAACTCGTGGGTACCCGGGTCGGGTGGGTACTGAGAAGGACCCGGATACCCACAGGACCACCCAGACCCATGGTTAGTCACGTGATATATTGTTTAACGACAAACAATATCTAGAACTCTATGGTTACACTATAAGTCTCTAATGTTCGCATTTATTTCTGACTATGCACCCATTCCTTCTGACCTTAATAGGTCTGAATAAAGATGAAACTTCAGTCAAGTTCAGTGTATGCATGACCAGATCATTTTACGCATGTATCTAAATACATTTTGTCAGGGCTACAGTCAAACTATTCCCAATCGTATAATTTGTACCCAACTCTTGAGATCTGCAGCGGGTACCCGGGTATGGTCAGGTATATCGGTTGGCTACCCGGGTTTTAAATCTTTACTCATCCCAGCCCTAAACCAAATGAAACCAGAGAACACAATTCCCTTCTCAATATCAGTGTAACCTCGTGCATCGTGACCCTCACCTGACAAAACATCAACTCAAACAAAAACACATTCTGTCAGACAAGAGCTGATGCTAAATCTATACAACACATTTTCCTGTTTGATCACTGGTTCCATCTATGGGCCTGATCTTAGTGCTAAGATGATCATACTCCCATACTTTAACATAGGCCTACGTAGTGCTAAGATCACTTTGTGGAACTGGGCCGGTAATATCAAGCTATGGAAGCACTGCAATTGTTACCTACCTCTGCACTAAGACAGGTGGCTATTCTTTCAGAACCTGGTCATAAACATATATCAGACAAACGTATCTTGCTTCCCTTAACACCCTAGTACTACCCTGGTATGCTACTGAACCTAGACACCCAAGAAGATCCGGGGTAGAATAGGTCTTCAGCAACCCATACTTGCCGTAAAAGGCGACTATGCTTGTCATAAGAGGCAACTAACGGGATCGGGTGGTCAGGCTTGCTGACTTGGTTCATGCATGTCATCGTATCCCAATTGCCTGGATCGATGCTCATGATGTCAATCACTGGTCCAGACTCAATTATTTCCAGACCGTCGTCATATAGCTGGAATATTGCTGAGTGCAGCATTAAGCAACAAACAAACAAAATGAACCTTGAAATACGGGATATGTCAGGGTTTGTTGTGTCTAATAATGCCCAAAATCTACATCTCGCGAAGGTAGTACAAGTGCAACTATAACAATAGTATGGCTATAGTGTTTTTACTAATGCTACTATCCCAAAAGTTTTAAGGGCCGGCAATTCATTGTTATTATTTACCAAATGCACTTCTTTCGAAATGATGGAGAGTGGATTAATGTACTAATTTTCCCATGCATAACAAATTATAACCTCTTTTGCCCTTCACAAAACACATGCACACAGCAGCTAATGACAGGAAAATACTCAACTCCTGATAGGGATACTCATATACTTCATACAAAAATCCCACCCAAATACGTAGATCGCTGTTCATGATGTCGATCACTGGATTGTCTGGGCCAGACTCAATTATTTACAGAATGCCGTCACATAGCTGTAATATTACTGAGTGTGGCATTAAACAACAAACAAATCTTACTAAATCTTATTAAATCAAACAAATCAAATTAATTATCTCCAATTATCTTAAACAACAAACATATTACCGTATTCGACGTAATAAGCGTCCTGGGCGCTCTCAAAATTAGAAATAGGGGTCTCTTATTAGAATATTATTTTGGTGAAAAAAAACAGAGTTGAAAGATTTATTTGGTGGTTTATGCTGACAGCCTGAAATGTTTATGTACAAGATATATGTTTCCAGAATTTATTTGCCAATATTAAAGGGTGCATATAACACACGAGTGCATATTATACGCGAATAGGGGAAGGAAGCGGTGCGAATTATATGCGAATAGGGGTCGGAAGGGGTGCTAATGTGGTATTGTTCACTAGCCAATTATCAGCAAATCTCGCCGTGGGCGCTTATTAGAGCGGGGCGCTTATTACGTCGAATACGGTATGAGTAATGACATAACAAGTCTGGTAAAACAGAAACCTTATACTGACATGGTCTCTGGATTAACAAAATAAATAAACACGATATCCCCATGAGTTGTTTACTATAAAATGTTTACCCGTCAGCTCGACCCAACAGTTGTTGTGGCAGGATTTAAACTGGAATCTCTTCACACACAAAATATACAGGCATCAGTTAGCCCGAATACATTTCAACATGCAGAGCCTACGAATAATTGATTTTTAGACAGGTACAGATTGTGAATTATTATAAATTATGCACATCCGAATTCAGGATATTCAGATACTTGATCATACAGATGACCATACGATTTGAATAAAAATACACCCTTTCAAATAGGGGTTTCATGAAAATAAGCATACTTTCAATGGAATACAGGAATCTCATGGGTGACTGTGTGAAATTTAGGGCAGGTTCGTTTGTGAAACATGAAATATAACAGGCCTTGAATTAAGTTGGAATGTATAGTTGAACACAATGGATGAGATTATGGTATGACTGAAAACACTATAGCCTTGCTGTTTGCAAGTTTGCATGATGTTCCTTGCGTACAGTAAACTATTTTTATAGCGAACACGCTCATAGTGAACTGACAGATATAACTGGGTTTTTTTTGTTCTGGCCATTTGCTGTATATATGCTGTTTACAGTCAAGTCCTGTTAATCCGACATGGCTTGTTACATATGAGTATGTCATATAAACGAAATTAAGTACCGGGTAGTGCCAACGTTTGTCGGTCATAGTTCGCCAAATGTTCTTCTGACGTGACCTGCAATGGGATGTTGTCCGTGATAGCGAGAACTTGTATCTGATTTTAATGAGATTGAGGTAACCTAAGCATGTGATTAATCCTGTTTTCTTTATTTAAAGCATTAATTGTTTATTGTTAAGCAAGTTTATCTCTGCAGCCGTTGTAATATGCAGCTACTCACCGACTCTCATCAAAACACTCCGACTCGTCTCGCATCAAAACACGGGCTGTGTACTCGCGGGCAGATGACCACGGAGTACGCTGATCACTGTGTCGGATTAACGAGACTGATTAATGAGTGATTTCAGTAATTCGTTGCAAATTAGGTGTGTCGGAGTCGGAGTGAGAGATTAACGGGTCTAAATAGCATTGATTTAATCGGTTCCCATCATTAGTGTCGGATAAAGCTGATTGTCGGATTAACGAGTGTCGGATTAATGAGACTTGCCTGTATATGCTCATAACGAACTAAGATTATAACAAACTTAAGTTAGTGGTCCCTTTGAGTTCGTAACCGTAGTTTACTGTATTGGCACAAGAGTTGGATCACCCTCAACTTCATCCTGTGTCAATGGCTACCAACACTGAGTTGTTCCCAAAGCATAACGAGTCACCAGGATCAGGCCTAGTGGACAATGTTTGACCTTCACCTTGCCCTTCTAACTCCCTCATGTTAATGACCCTTGTGTATAGATGGTATGAGAGTGAGTATTTGGTATAGACTGACATATTGCACCCCCCAGTCACACATACAGTGAGATCCATCTTCCCACCCACATCACCAGGATCAACTAATTTAATATCTGAACACATGTTGTTGTCAGTTAACAAGGTTACAGTAGATCCATAATTAGAAGATAAATATTATGTGTGTGTCAATTTCCGAGATTTTATCGAGTATTTGCATCTTGGAAATTCAATTCGAGACCCGAAAGCGTTAGCTTGCGGGGCTCGAATGAAAATTTCCAAGATGCAAATACTAGATAAAATCCCGAAAATAGTGACTGAGTGAGTGAGTTGGGTTTAACGCCGCTTTTAACAGTATTACAGTTATATCGCGGCGTGTCAGCTTTATGTGGGAGGAAAGCCCGAAGTGATGCAGGTCTCAGACGTTTACCACTTCGGTGAAACCCACGAGCACGGGTATGGTGCTGACAAACCTAGAAACATAATTTGGGCGAACCCAGATTCGAACCCACAATCATAGGTTTCTGGCGTGCTGAAGGGACGCAACTCTGCACAGCGAATCGCAGCGCCTTAGACGACTAGGCCACCCGTGCCCCCTCCCGGAAATAGATACACACATAGTATTTATCGATATTGTAAACTTATTGTTTAATTAGTATGTTAATACCATGTTAATTAGTATGTAAAAAATGCTGAGTAATTATGTATTCCTACACAGTGATTCCGTCGCTTGCTTCAGGGAATGCAAATCATACTTTCACCCTTTGACATTTGGTCATGTGACCCAAATTTGCCAATCACAACATAGAACACACTTTCTATAGGTTTACAATTCAAAGT